TGCCCCTCCTCACAGGGATCCCCGTCCAGGGGAGAAGCTGCTGGCTCTGCTCCCTCCTCTTGCAGTGGGAGGGACAACTCGCTCTCTGGCTCACTGTCCCCCTCTCCTGCAGTGTCTCTGTCAGGGAGCTCTTCTTCCTCCCACTTTGCCAGCAGCTGGTCTAGCCGAGTGTCCCTGGACGGCGCATCCTCGTTGTTAAAGAGAGACCACAGCTCTTCAAACAGGTCGGGAGGCACGAGCTGTGCGTTGTTTTTGGTCTCTCCTGTACAGTCTATGGTCCAGCTGCAAAGGCTGTGCTGGACCCAGGGGCTTTCTGCATCCAGGGAGGAGAGGATGTCATCCTCCAACTTTTCCAGCTCATGTGCCTCGATATTCAGAAGATGCTTTGAAGCATCCTCAGGCCCTGTGCCCATCAGCTTGCCACGTGCAGTTTGCTCAGGCAGCAGATGAGTTTCCCTGTCCTCACAGGGGCTTCCAGATGAGGGAGAAGCTGAGAAGTCTGAGCATTCCTCAGGCACTGGTGATGGCAAAAGCTTGTTGTGCCCTTTGGCCCAGGGATCTTTGTCCAGGGCAGAAGCTCCTGCCTCTCCCTCTTCCAAGAGGGCAAGGAATGTGCTCTGAGGATTGCTGTCCCTGTCTCCTGCAGCCTCTGTTTCTGGGAGTTCTTCCTCCTGCCACTTGTCCTCTGGCTCTTTTGGAAAACTGTCCCAGGGCTGCAAGTTGTCAGAGACAGAGGGCTGCTCTGCCAACTGGGCAGGAGACAGGAACTCAGAGGAGTTTCCTGTCTCTTCTGTGGCATCTTTGGTCAAGCCAAGAGTGCTGGGCATCACCTGGGTCTCTGCATTTGCCTCTTGGCAGACACTGGACCGCTTCTGGGTCCAGGTCGACATGATGTACCTGTCTTCAGACAGGCATGGGGCAAGGTCTCTAAATGGGTACCCATAGGTTTTGCCACTGTGCTCTTCCTGCAGCTCAGTGAGCCCCTCTGTCTCGCTGTGCTCCATGTGCTTCCAGGCAGGCTGGGTCCCTGCTTGGAGCAGCGTGCCACCTGCCCATCGCAGGGGTGGCAGGCGATGGCCCTGCCGTGCTGCTGACCCTCGCCAGAGCCTTTCAGCTGAGCTGTCCGAGGAAGGTGTTTCCCTGGCCCCATAAGCAGCCCTAGTGCCCCATGGAGAAGGTGGCACTAGGTCTTGGTGGCTGCTGGCTACATGGCCTGCAGACTGTGCTCTGCCTCTGGGAGAAGACCCAGAGGCTGCTGGGGCTGCTGGCAGAGGGGGCAGCTTGATCTGTGCCGAGGCTGCTCTTGGCATTTCAGGGCTGAGCTGCCATGGAGGTGTTGCCATCAATGGAGGGCCATGGAGAGGCAGCAAGTCTGACACGGACAATCTTGGTGGCCGTGTGACTGTGCCACTGAGGGGCACTGAGTGCCCTCCCTCCAGACTGCCCTCCTGTATTTCATGTCCTGGCAGGCTCCCTGAGGTGACTGGTCTGGGGAGCAGTTTGTCCCCGTTGAGGGATGCGATGTTTGTCCAGGTGACCTGCAGAGCTGCTTGTGGCTGCCTGTAAGTCACCTGTGGGAAGCAGGAGGAGGTGGTAGATGGAGGCAGCTGTTTGGACACTCTGTCCTTCCATATTCTTTCATGGCCCTTGTCTCAAGGCAGGTGCTGGCCACAGCAGCCAGGCCGGGCTGGGTTCCCAGCTGCGCTCGCTGTCTCTGGGCCATTCCCTCACCCAGGCCATCCTGGCACTGGCTCCTCCCCAGAGCAAGGCCTGGAGCCAGGCCTGGCTGCTGCTCTCTGCCCCCAGCCCTCCCCCAGGTCCCACTGCAGCCTTTCCCTCCATTCCCATCCCTCACCTGTTGCCGCTTGGACAGCAGCGGCTGCCCCTCATGGGACTGGCAGTGGGCATTCGCTTCCTTTCTCTTGGACATCTTGGCAGTGCTCTGAGGAACACCGGCCAGGATCACCTGGGAGAGCTGCTTCCTCCTGAGGCGCTGCTGCCTCGTGAGAGAACTGCTGCCTCCTCAGAGAGCTGCTCTCCTGAGAGTGCCCACATGAGGCGTTTGGCCCTACAAGAACTCTCTGGGCATGATACAACCAGGGGTCACCAAGGCCTAGTGGGTATGTCCACCCCTTGTCTCAGGGGCCTGGTAATTTCCATAGACATGCCCCTGTCCAAGAGTCCTGGGGATACCCACTGTAGAAAGAGGTGTTGACATGTAGACACCCCTTGTCACAAAGGTCTTGTTTAGCCCTTTACCCTTCTACTTTTGCTATGCTTTTTCCTCCCCCAATGATCTGCTGCTCTCTTAACTTACTTACTGCTCTCTTAACTGTCGGGTCCGGCTGTCTGTCTCTGCCCCGACATGGGTAGAGTGGTTCTTTGGTGGGCGCGATGCAAAGGACGAGTCTGGACTCTTCAGCTTTCGGTCTTCAGGTTGTTTATTATTTCTTATCTACAAAATTTTCTGTCTGCCCAACAGAGGTCTGATCTGCAAGCAGTCACAGGCACTCTCTGACCACCCATGGGGCGGTCATATCTTTTTATACTAAAACCTACGTATACAATATTTACCTTTATTTCCCAATGCTTTTCGCCCATGTTAGCAAGTGCACCTTCACCATAAACCAATCTCTAAGTGCCAACATCATCACAGGAGATGGAGGACAAGAAGAAGAAAGAAGAAGGACAAGACACGCCCCGATCTCTCCATCTTGTCTCCATAACCCCCCTGTACCAAAAACCTTAAAGTCTATATCTCACCCTCTAAATGTGTCTCTTTTACACCTTGTACTCTAAAGTGATTCTCTTGTCCTCAGACTCTTGTTACTTCTGTGGATGGATCAAAATCAAGCCACCAAACACTCTTGGCAACATTCCAGGGTTTTCGAGACCCCCAAGGGTTCTCCTGGCATCTCTGGACATCGGGAACGATGTGCTGAGATCCCACACTTAACTTGCTTGTTTCGCTCTCTTAAACATCCCCAAAGAAGCCCTGTGCCCTGCTTTTCCCACCAGCCCACCATATGTTCCACCCTTTGGCCTCCACCTCATGTCAAAAGATAATAAGGAAAGCAAAAGCTCTGTTAGCACTTCATCTGGCCACTACTGTAAAAGACAATTAAAAGTGTTTGTTTACAAAAATTAACAACAAAGTAGGGCCAAGGAAAATCTCCATTCTTTATTGGGTGTGGGGTGGGAATATGCCTCAGTCTTCTACGGGCAGGTCAATTCTTCAGAGGACAAGCAGCTCCCTGAGCCAGCAGACAGGGTTGAGGAGGAGATGAGAGCCCCTGTAATCCTGTTGGAAGTCTTTAGTGACCTAAAGAGCCACTGACAAGTCTATGGGATTGGCTGGGAGTCACCCATGTTTGCTGATGGAGTTGGCAGAAGAGCTCGCTAAGCCACTCTCCATCCTTTATTATCAGTCCTGGCCAGTCATGAGGTCCCACATGGCTGGAGGTGCCAGTGTGACACCCATGCCTAAGAAGGACTGCAGGGACCTTGAGGGGAACTCCAGTCCTGTCAGCCAAGGCAAGGTTCTGGAGCAGATCATTGTGAGGGGGATCACAGGGCCCAGAGAGGACAACTGAGGGATCAGGCCCAGCCAGTGTGGGTTTGGGAAAGGCAGGTCCTGCCTGAGCAACGTGATGGCCTTTGAGGAGCAACTGACCTATCTCCGGCCTGAGGGAAAAGCTGTGCATGGAGTCTCTCTGGGCTTGGGCAAAGCCTTTGACTCCATCTCCCACCGCAGAGTCCTGGAAAAGCCATCAGCCCAGGGCTTGTGCAGGGGCACTCTTTGCTGGGTTAAGAACTGTCAGGATGGCTGGGCCCAAAGAGTGGCTGTGAATGGTGCCACATTCGGATGGTTTTTGGTCACTAGTGGTGTCCCCTGGGCCCAGTCCTGTTCAGTGTCTGTCCTTCTGATTTGGACAAAGGCACTGAGGGTACCTTCAGTAGTAAATTTGTGATGACACCAAGTTGAGTGGGAATGTCAATGTACTGGAGGTTTGGAAGGCTCTTTTGAGGGGATGTTCAGAAGCTGGATGGATGGTGCGAGGCCAGCAGGATGAGGTTCAAGAAGAGCCAGGCCTGGGTCCTCCCCTTGTGTCGCAGCAAGCCCCTGCAGTGCCCCAGGCTGGGGCAGAGTGGCTGGAAATCTGCCCAGTGGGAAAGGCCCTGGAGATGCTGGCTGACAGAGGCTGACCATGAGCTGGCATGTGCCCAGGTAGGCAAAGAGGCCAGCAGCCTTCTGGCCTTCTGTGGCCAGCAGGACCAGGGCAGTGACTGTCCCTCTGTGCTGGGCACTGGGTAGAAATCTTCATTCAATTCTGGGCACCTCATGAAAAGAAAGGGGTTGAGGTGCCAAGACTGTTGCCAGAGAAGGGCAGTGCAATTGATGAAGGGTCTAAAGGATAAATCCTATGAAGAATTGCTGTGGGAGCTGGGTGTATTCTGGGGAAAAGAAGATTCAGGGGGGACCTTACTGCTCATTACAACTCCCTGGCAAGTGGCTGTAGCCGGGTTGGGATTGGTCTCTATTCCCAGAAAACCAGCGACAGGACTGGTTTTCAGGAATAGTCCTTTTCTCAGGACCCAAGAGAAAACTGCCTCAAGCTATGCCAAGGAACATTCATGTTGGACAGCAGGAAGAATTTGTTGACTGAAAGGTTTGTCAGGCATTGCAAGGTTCTGCCCAGGGAGGTGGTGGAGTCAGCATCTCTGGAAGTGTTCCGTGAACAATTGGATGTGGCACTCAGTGCTCTGGTCTTGCTGCCATGGTGGTGTTCAGTCAAAGGTTAAGCTCAATGGCCTTGGAAGTCTTTTCAACCTTAATGTTTCAGTCTAAAGATTCTATCTTTAAGATTCATTCCAACCCAAACCACTCTATGATGCTCTGAATAAATAACAAAGAGTAATTGAACTTAAGAGAAAATATATGAAATATATGCTGGGTCATTCAGAGACCTACATGAGTAATGAATAAATAGAGTGTGGAGGGAAGCTATGTGATAAATGTAACACCAGTCTGTGCCTAAAGTAAAGGATAAACTTTCTGTATGCACAATCTTGAAGCATAATAAATGGTGGACATTGCTGGAGAAAAATGAGCTGGAACAAATTGATAGCCTAGATGGCAATAAATCATGGGAAGAGGGTGTAGCATCCCAGTGTCCCACAACCACTATGGCGTGAATTGCTCTAGAAAATGACTTGAGGGAAATGGTACCATTTCTCACTTTTTCTGCAGTTATTTTAGTTACTAACAAATAAAAGTGTTTTGACCTCCTTAATATCCATTTCCTTGGGGGTCTTAGGGATCTAAGCATCAAACAGTTTGTTTGTGTGGTAAGTGTACAGAGCAAACACAAGATTTTTTGAAGCACAAATCTAATGCTATTGTGCATCCAATGCATCATTCATTTTAAGTCACTGAATGTCATTAAAATGTATGTAAAACATCACAGTAACACAGTCCACAACCAGTTTCTGCATGTGTTCATCTGCAAAGCAGAGAAAACAGAGTTAATTGCGATCGTATGTCCAGATCTATTAATTATGAGATGGTTATTGAAAATAAGAATGTACAATAACCATTAGAAAATATGCTCAGGATGTTGCTTTTATTTTGCACTGTTGTGTATTGTGCCATGTTGTGTTCTATGTATGTTTTTTCATTTCTGTCTTGTTTCCCTGCAGGGTGAACCAGGACTTCCAGGATTGCCTGGCACTTCAGTAAGAATTTTTATTCAGCTTTCCCAGACTTTGTAGCATTACTGCATGAGAAGTAGAAATGCAGGTTGGGAGGATCTCACTGAGATGTTCTTAAATACATTTTTTTTAAGAAGCTTTTAAAAGCGAAGATTTTTGAAGAAGGCATGTGACAGGTTCCAATGAGGAGATGCTCTGCCACGATTCTGGGAGATTGTGAAGTGTGAAGACCAGGACTTGAGGCAATGAAAGAAAGCATTGCCTCAAGTGCATCAGACAGAGCAATACTCTGACAAAACTGTGTGGTTTCTGACAGTTGTTGATTCCAAGTGGCCTTTGGTACATAGAGCCTGGGCCAGTTATAAAAGCAAATGAACTTTCAGTATTGAGTAGCTGAGTGTCTTTGATATGGACTAAGTGTAAGAGTTGGGGTAGGAGAAGAAAAAGGCTGTTTCTGATGAGAGGGAATGATCTTTCCTTAGCTTGTATTTAGAAAAGTCCTGGTGGGACATTAAGGCAGCTAGGACTTGATGTGCTGAAATCAGGAAAACACTCATGAAAAAATGAAACAGAAAAAAGAAGAACGGGGTTTATCTTTATTGTAGAACTAGATTAACATCCTTTGTGGATCCCTCTGCCTTCACTGATGCCAGAGACATCTCTGGCAGGGATGTAAGGATATCCAGAGACTGGTATTGTCTGTATGAAGAGATTATCTCTGAGTGAATGGAGAAAGATTTACCACTAAGTATGCAGAGGAGAGGTCTAGAACTGAGTTCAGTATGGGCTGGTAAAGAAGCAGTTAGGGAGTATCCCTTTAATTAAAAAGAAAGAAAGAAAGAAAAAAAGAAAAAAAGAAGGCTTCCTGGTAATCCTGGGAAAGTCAGCAGGCAATTCCCTTACTCAGAATGTGGTAGAAAGGAAAGGAATTAGAAAACCATTAAAAAACCAGCCTATTTGGGTAAGAACATTTTGCTGTCCTGTTCAAATGTGATATTAATGATGGGACAGCAATTACCAAGAAATTTTGAAAGATGTGTATAACATCTGAAAATGAGTTTAACTGATGGGGCATATTCCAAGCCAGTCTGCTTGTTATGTGATTTCTTCTGCACTCAATAGATCTTTGTGATTCAGAATAAAACAAGATCTGGGGAATTTACTAACTTATTTATATAATGAGAAAATTAATTAAGTTCTTACTGTTTATACAGCCACCCAAATCACTTCACAGGTGAGAGAAAACCTTGGTTAGTCTAAACTCTTTAAATAGAAAGCATCTCCCAGCCTGCAACAGGATTTGAGGAGCTGTAGGAGTTATCATGCAACTTGAAGGAACAGCAAGGGCAGAAAAATACCCTGTGGGGGCCCATGATACCTTTGGCACCTTCTGCCTTGTATTTACTCTTTCCATCATTTATGACTCTGCATTTCTATTGCAGGTGCATCTTGAAGGCCTGAAAGGAGAGGAAGTAAGAGAGACTCAATATCTCTTCTTTCATTGCAAGGATATTTTAATGTAATTCTGTTGCCTGTTAGGTTAGATTTTGCTGTAAAATAGTACTTTAAAGGAAAGGTGGATGGAAGCATTATCAGGACATTGAGAAATAAATTTTCCTATTTACAGTGGAGAAAATAATGAAGAAAGGAAAAAGGGCAATATCATTTTCAGATGCGAATCTTATATCAATGAGAAGTATGAATTGTAGAGTCAGCTATGCAATTATCTAAGGACAGGGATGTATTAACATTAATGTTAAACTGCATTTGATTTTTTGCCTAGTTTGTCTCTGAACCTGGGCACTCAAATAGGGGGACATACCCATTGTGTCAGTCTGTTAGTCCAATGTATAAAATATATATATATTTAAATTTTGATTTTTTGTTGGTGGATCTGTAATTTGCATTTCTTGTTACTTAATACAATTGTATGCATCATGCAAATGATACTTTAAAGCCCTTCAGAGCTCTGTAGGCTTGGGGGAAATGCTGGTGGGAGCTGCTTATGCAAAAACTGTTCTTCTCCACTACCAAACCCCAACCCAGAGTGTTTTAGTGGAATATCCAGGATATCCCAGCCTCTTCAGTAGAGTCACTACCTTCGAAAAACAGAGAACCAGATATGGATAAGTGCCTGTTGAGTGTGGGTGGATCAGTCTGTCTGCAGCCTAATGAGTGCTGATAATTTGAGTAGCCAGAGATTAAGGAGAAAAACAGCTGGTCTCTGCACTGGTTCTTCAGGACTTGTGGGGGAAGTGGTGGTATAGGTCCTGTAAAGACAGACAATGTGTCTAATGTGCCCATGCACATTTTCATAAAGATACTTTAATACTTCTTTTAAAAAAACCCAAACATTCCTGTAGGGAAAGCCTGGGCCACGAGGACCACAAGGCCACCCTGGACTTCCTGGACCTCCAGTAAGTTGTTTCTCTCACTACTTGCAATTTCAGAAGCTGAAACTCAGGCTGGAGTGAGGCATATGAAAATCTTATACATTATTCAGGCTCTAAAATATTTAAATAGTGCCCACAGCCTCCAGTTTTCTTCATTGCTGAGAGGAGGTGTCATGCTGTGGATGGCCTGTCTGACCACAGGGTAGAGACAACCAGGACATGGGCAGACTTTGCCTTAAGGCTGTTGTCATGCAGAACCTGATCATTTTTCTATTTCTAATGTCCTGAAGAGCTGTATGGGCATTCAGCACGTCTCAGAGAGGCACTGACTGATAATTTGTGAGCTGTCATGTCATGAAGGTCAGGGAGTAGTTGCTGTCAAAGGGGTTGGTGTTATGCCACAAGGTCGTGGCTGAAATACTTTCTGGATGAAAACTAAGAATTGAGTATGTGTGTTTATATTTCAACACAATTTTTACAACAGTTTGTACATGCCAACATTCTTACTTCTGACTTAAATTGCAGCCTATTCTAGTTATATTTTATGACCCAGCTCTGCAGGATGTCTCAGTTCAGACTGTCACTGCTGCCTCATTTGTAAACACTCTGTGTTTCCTCTCTTTTGAATTGCTTGTTGTGTTTCACTGTTGATTGGCTTTTGTAAAATTGATGGCATTGTGAAGGTGTGTTGCTTAGGTAAATCTAGTTTGAATTATGTAATTTAAATATAGTTGTGTGCTCTGTATTTAATCAGGGCATTGTCACTTTATCTTGTTTACTCATTCTCTTCTGCTCACAGGACAACATAATCATCAGGTAAGAGTTGTCTAGGTAGCCATGCAGTAATGGTAGCACAAAACAGCTAGGAAATCATATATAGTTCACTAGTTTTTTCTTATTCTGTTAACTTTCTAAATCTTCTCAATTTTAAAGGGAGAGCCTGGTCTGGAAGGCAAGCCTGGAGTCCCTGGTTTGCCAGGTCCAAGGGTGAGTTGCTTCTTTTATTTAATCTGAGTCTCTGGAGGCTCAGGACAGCTTTGTTGAATAAGGTTTGCTACTTTCACCCACCATACATATCCTTGTCTACTTATGTAAGAATCCTGAGGCCCAGATCCTTTCCCATATTCCTTATTCATTGTCCAGGAACTTTCAGTACCTCTTGGAGTTGACAGGTTGAATGCAGTGCAGGTTCTTTCTTGCCATGTGCTCTCCTGTACTTTTATCTGCTCTTTACTGCTAAGGGGTTGCTTGAAATGACTCTGAGTGTGCAGAACCACTACTAACGTGGTCAGTCTGAAATTTCAGAGAAATTCTGTTGTCCTAGAAGTCAAATGAGTGTAAAGATTCTTGCAATACTTATTATTTTTTGTTCTGTTTCATCTGTACTCAAAAAAGGGTCCCTAAAAATGGTAGCTGGTGTACCATTCTCTGCCAAGAGCTTAGTTTTCCTATGCATGAAAAACTCATGGATTTTTTTTTGACATGGAATTACTTCTTCACATATTTAACTACTGCTTAAAGGTCAATTTCATAGTGGACCTGATATTATTACAATCATACTTTGAACCTGCTTTTCCTTGCTTGAGCCTGTTCATGTGAAGAACATCTCATGAGACAACACAGAATCAGAATATCCTGAGTTGGAAGGCACCGATCAGGATCATGGAGTCCAAATCCCAGCCCTGCACAAAGGATCCCCAAGAATCCCACCATGTTCCTGAGAGTATTGTTCAAATGCTTCTTGAACTCTGGCAGGCTTGGTGCTGTAATCACTGCCCTGGGGATCCACACTCTGTGTGAAAAACCTTATCCTGATATCCAGCCTAAATCTCCCCCAATGCAGCTTCATGCAGTTACCTGAAGTCCTGTCACTGGTGACCAGAGAGAAGAGATCTGTACCTGCCCCTCCTCTTCCCCTCACAAAGAAGCTGTAAGTGCAAGGAGGTTTCTCCTCAGTCTCCTCTTCTCCAGGCTGAACAGACCAAGTGTCCTCAGTCACTCCTCATCAGGCAATTCTCGTTGCCCTCCTCTAATATCTTCATGTGTTTCTTATATTGTGGCACCCAAGACTGCCCCCAGGACTCAAGGTGAGGCCATGCCAGTGCAGAGCAGAGCAGGACAATCCCTTCCCTTGCCCAGCTGGTGATGCTGTGCCTGATGCCCCCAGGAGAGGATTGACCCTCCTGGCTGCCAGAGCACCGCTGACTCCAACTTTCCACTGACCAGGACCCCCAGATCCTGTCTCACAGCTGCTTTCCAGCCTCATTCCCCAGTCTGTCTGTACATCCAGGGTTGCCCCATCCCAGGTGCAGGATCTGGAACTATGGATTCACACCAATCACCACACAATTGGTGACTGCCCACCATACAACTGGTGATTGTCCAGTCCATTTGTCAGGGTCTCTCTTCAGGGCCTCTTTGGCCTCAAGGGAGTTGACAAATAAGAGTGGAAGTGAGATACCTGCTTAGCATTTTTGGAGGCAGTTACTTGGGTCTCAGTACTGCTGTTTAATGGGTCACTTTTTTAAGTAGCCACAGAGACTTGATGATAACTTCACTCCTTAAAGGAGATCATGGGGTTTGCCTGCAGTGCTTTAAGTCAGCACCAGTGCTGTTGTCAGCCTGTGTGAGAACCTGTGAGCATAGGAGGGGGATGAGCAAACAACAATACAGGGAAAAAGATATATACTTTGCTAAGAGGTTTTCTACAGACCATCCATTGCATTGTGTGCTGTTAAATTTAGCCTGTAAGCATGAACTTTAGGAATCTTCCTAAAGATAGTGCAAGCAGCCTTTAGTCAATGCCTCAGTGGAAAAGGGCATTTACTTGCTTTCTTGTAATTTCCTAAACATTAGAAAATATCACTTTAGCAAATAACTCTGCAGTGCTTTGCCCCTAAGTTGGTAAGTTAGGAATTATCCTGGTTTTAAGGCCTGCTGTGAAACATGGTTTCTTGAATAAGATTAACAGAGCATATTAGCTGGGTAAAGGACAGTGATCCGTCAGGATTTGCAACAGACCAGAAAATGCTCCTGTTAATGATCATTTGATTACAGATGTCATTTGATCTGTTCTGTCTTTGAATTTTTCCCTAGACTCTGTTGTGTCTAGCTAGTTAGACTTCTCCTGAGGGTCTTTATTAGTCACCAAGCATCTTAGATTAATAGATACATTTTTTTAATTAAAGGCCATTTTTCAATGACTGAATTCATGAGATGAATCAAAGTACTGGGCTTGGTGGACCTACACAGATCCCATCTGGGGGCAGGAGGTAACAATTCCAACCTGAACCAAGCAACTGGGTTGTTCATTTTATTAGTCAAAAGTACCTGGCAGCTGATGTCTGCATTTTGACAATGATACCCTTACATCAGGAGCACACTGTGTGAAGAAAAATGCTCTGCTATTCTCATGTGACCTGCAAGACCTTTGAGTGACAGACAATACTGTCCTGATTTTATTAAAACTGCCTGAAAAAGAAGAACTCTGAGAGTCTGCTTTCACTTTTAGGGTGGTTTTGTGGTTTTCTTCCCTCTTCCTGTCCTTCTTTTTCTTCTGTCAAATTGAAGAAAATTGAAGTCCTTTGGTTCTGCTCTTAAGTCTTTGATACCTGATCTACTGAAATATCTGTTTGAAATAAAACCAAATTTTTTTCTTGATAGGTACAAAAGGTGCAGGCTTATGACATGCTCCTGGAAAACATGCAGATCTGTGTCCAGTACAGACTAAACATAGGGTTCCTCTTAAGTGTACTCAGTAATTTGGATTTCAAGAATTTGCCTCTTTTTTAAATGCTACAATTTCATTCAAGTGATTGAAATTTCAGAAAGAGGCCAAGAGAAAACATTTGTCCTGCAGCAGTCATGAGGTAGGAGCTGTTTAGACCATTTTGAGTGTGATATGCTGGACTGCAGCTTAGTTTTATAAAATTACATTGATAAAATCTGTCCAAGTTCAAAGTACAATCAATACAAAACAAAAATAATACAGGAGTCTCATGGGGTAATAAGAATAAATTTATGAAAAGAAAATTAATGGAAAATATGTTTATAATATAGTAACATTTAATGAATGTACTTCTCCATGTTAAAGACTCAATGTACGTAAGTCAGGGAGATAAATAATAATAATAATAATAATAATAATAATAATAATAATAATAATAATAAATAATCGAAGTTTAAACTGGGAACTCCTGGGCTCAGGGTGCACTCTCCACCCAGAGGAGCAGTGTTCAGATCATTTGTCAATGCAGGAAAGGTTTGTCCCTCTCAGCTGTCCTGGGAGATAAAAAGTTAACAAATCTGTGGAGGCCTGCTGAGTTCTTCCTGTTTTTGATGGTGGAACAAATACAGGTATTTGACTTTCCATTCTTGATCCATCTTTCACCTGAGTGGATTGTTGCATACAGTTTTCCTGTTCAGGCCAGTCACAATTTGAATTTGGAAGTCAACACTATTTCAACTCTTACTTCTCTGTGTATGAACTGCCCTGGATTTGAACCACCTTAGGCTCCCAGAATCCAAGGAATGGAGAGAGATGACTGTTAATTCCAAGGTGAAATGGATAAATAATCCAGGAGAGAGGAGAATAAGTTTGCCTAGAAAATTAAGTAGGCTTTTTGGAAGGAGCCAGCCTCAAGGTGCAGTCTCTCTCAATGTCCAGAAGTCCTTGTAACCCTTTACTTTGCCATAACTGCTCCAATAATCACTCATGATCTGGCCAACCCTGGTGGTATTTTTATCCTCAAGCTATGGAGATGCTCTCACTTCAAAATTTACCTGTGTTATGTAATGCATATGGAGACTGCAAAAGGCTGGAGCCTTCAGGGAGCTCAAACATTGATTAACATTGCTGGATTTCTTCTGGTTTCTCTAGTATTGCAGAGGTAAAGAGACCAGATAAAATTGGTAATCCTAGTATCCCATCCAGGTTACAGGGGAAACAAAATTGGCATTTATGCTTGCAGAGTCATATTCATTCACAACTAAAGATGTTTTCTGTGTACTTTGTACCAAATCCACCTGTGTTCCTGGGCCAAACCTCAGAGAAAAACATGCTAAGAAAGCATATGTGTGTTCTGGCTATTGGACAGCAAGATGGGAGACAGTCTTGGGCTGAGGTACCTTTCAGAATTTCCCCTCCAGCAGAGTGGAAATGACATTTTCCTTGATTTCCTGTCTTCTGTATAGAAGATATCGTTTTGATGGATGGTTCTGTTCACTTTTATTTGTGAATATTTGAAATGTTCAGATGACTTTGCCTGCCCTGGCAAAGCTCAGTTATGCAGATCAAACTGTGAGCAAGTTAACAAAAAAAAAAAAAAAAAAGGAGAAGGAATTGATGCCATAGACTAAATCCAGAGTGAAACTGTAATTGTCAGTAGGTAAACACACAAATTTCCAATAAAACATACATTTTTAACTGTGCTTTTGTTCAAATTGCTGATAAAGGCAAATAGGATATATTTCATAATGTCAAAAGATACACAATCTTACCTGATTCCTACTGTAGGTAACAGAGCATAATTTCTGGGTTTCTCTGTCATATTATTAGGCAGTGTGACATTTCACTGAGTTTTGCTCTCATAGGTGTAATTTCTCCCAGCAAGTATTTCTGTCCTTTACAGAGAGACTATAATGCTTTGGAGCAAATCTGTTGTAGCTGATTTCAGCTAACCTCAGAGTGGCCCACAAGTCCCCTTCACAATAGGAAGTCTCTCTCAGTCTCTATAATTATATGTTGCTCTAAGAGATTTCTCAATGTTTTAAAAAGACCTGAAGCTTCTCAACATTATACCCAAAGAAAGAATAAAAAGCTCCTCTTGCATCTCTTCTGGAGACAGAGCAGTTGGTTGGTGGGACATAAAGGCATCAGTAACACAGTGTTGTTTTGATGGACACAATTAAGGATGCTTCCTATGTGCCTGGTGCCAAATCCACCTCTGTTCCTGGGACCAAGCCTCAGAGAACACTGCAGCATCTCTCTTCTGAGAAAAACAGAGAGCTGGGCCTGTTCAGCCTGGAGAAGTGATGACTGAGGGGGGACCTCATCCCTGTCTGTCAGTGTCTGCAGGGAGGGCTCAGAGCAGGGACCAGGCTCTGCTCGGGTGCCCAGCAATGGGACAAGAGGAACAGGCAGGAACTGATGCCCAGGAAGTTCCACCTGACTGAGGAAGAACTTCTTTACTGTGAACTGGCTGAGCATTGGAGTCTCCCTCACTGGAGATATTGCAGCACTGTCTGGACACAATCCTGTGCCTGTGCTCTGGGATGGTCCTGCCTGAGCAGGGAGGTTGCACCAGATGACCTGCTGTGGTGCCTTCCAACCTGACCCATTCTGTAATTCCATGATTCTGTAGTTCTCTGTTCTGGACTCAGTGTTATAAATCTGGCAGCAGCCACCTTGGCATGGAGCTCCCACATGGATAGGAAGCTGGAGGCGGCTCATCTCCTGTGTCTGGCCCCCCCACCACATCCTGTATGCTTTATTCATAAGCTTACATATTTATTTAAATGAGTACTTTAACAGTGCCATTTGCATGGTCACCTTGGCAGTGGGCAAAATGAACATCTTTAACTAGAAAACATATGTTAAATCATGTGGTGACATGAGTCCTTCACATTAAAAATGAGATCTTGCTGGCTTTGACAAGAAAAGAAATGATGGATGTTGGAAAAGTAGAAGGAACATTTATGAATAGTGGGTGTGCTGGAGTATATAATTCAAATTTTTATTGATATTGAGTCCTGCAAATGATTACAAATTTCTTCTGATACCTGAGGACCCTATAATCACTCCTTTAATATTCTTCTTAAATTCTTCTGTATATGAATGCTGATTTTCATTGTTTTAGGGTGGAGAGTTGCTGGGGATTTTTTAATGAGAAAAATAATTAAAGTAACTGATTCTGACACATCAGATAATAAACCTCAGTCACAGCTGAGGAAAACATAATGAAAACTTGTTTTGTTTTTGATGGTTTAGATTTTTCTTTAAGTCAGCAAAAAAATGCTGTTAATAGATGCTGTTTCTGCACATCTTTCAATGAAGAAAAATAAAGGGAAAATTTTATATTTGACCCTTCACATTATCAGGGACATTTAACTTTTTAAATTATATTTTCCTTCTAAAAAGAAAATCAGTCTGGATGAGAAGTAGAAAGGAAGGAGGAAAAAGTCTGTCTCTCAGATATTTACATGACTCCTCTTGTACCCTCCCACTATATTAATAACAGCCTTAGAAATATTTATGATTCAGTGTCAGTTACGTATGAGGGAAGAAGAGATAGTTTTTATAAAATATGTGACTTACCTAAAGTAACATAGCAAGTCACCTGTTGGGTTGAGAAACAAATCCAATCTCTGCCTTAACTCCAGTGCTTACTCCATCCTTTCTTCCTCATTTTTCTCATGTTGGATTTTTTCCTTTTGAATTATTTGAGATCAAACCCGTGGGGACACAGAGGCCCAGCATCCATACAGGTGACCTTGTCTCAGGCTGTACTCCAGCTCTTTGCTTCTCCCTGCCTTGCACCAGTGGAGTTCTCTGGTTCCTTTGAAGGGATATTTTTTACTTGCAGAGGAGTCCATGAGCTCTGCCCTTTGCTGCTGATGCCACCTTTACCTAGAAATGCCTCATGGATTCCTGTTTCCCAGCTTAGAGATTGTGGATCTTTTCTATTCAACCATGCACCAGAGTTCTCAATTATTTTATTTCTTAATGCAAGAAGTAGTGCAAGGGACCAGAGGGCCACTGCTTCACCTCTCAGCCCATGTTTACACTTAACATCCCCCTTGCCTGCATCTCAGCATCATGACTTCCTTACCCCTCTGTAGGGGGAAGCCAGATGGGATTGCAGAGTGTAGGAGATGCCACAATGTGTGTGAGAACAGCGCTCAACTTTACAGCTATTGTCACCATGTGGGAGATACAGGATTGTTAAAGACAACCGGGGTTTCATTTCCAAATGGTGTCTGTTGTCTTCATTTCTAGTTTTTGTGTTTTGTGTACCCACGTTACATTGATTTACCAGGTTGGTGGTGAAAGACTTTGGAAAATCAATAGCAGTCTTTGGTCTGCTCTCTAATATGTGCTCCTCTGTTGAACATGCAGGGTAAAAAGGGAGAACCAGGATTCCCAGGAATCAATGGTCTGATTGGCCCTCAGGTAAGTGATGATTTCTTCCTTTTCCTATAATATGTGTAAAACCAGATTTGGTGGCAACAGAGGACATGGAACTACACCATGCAGCAGGTGTGATCTTCCTCTTTATACTGTATTATTTGAAGTTCATGTTTCTCTTTTCAAGATGCAAATAATTTATCTTGTTGAGATTGAGAGATGTCTGTTTGTCTGACAGCAATTTCATTTACCTTCCAGAGTTTTTCAGCATCTTGGAACCAGCACAGCTGTGTTGTATGGGATTTCCCCATTGCTTGTGCTTAAAGCAGCATCATGCCAGAGGAAAATCACTGATTTGTGTTTAGTGAGGAAGGGGGATGTCTTAAGTTAATGACCCCTTAACTCCTTCTTTTTAAAGCTTTTGGCAACTTAGAGCTCCAAATTGCACCATAGCATCATGAGGGCCACACAGAGTGGTTTATGTTAAGAATTGCCAAGAGGATTCAGCTCCACCATGGATCAGCCTGTTTGGCCCTAATAACACTGACACCTTTGACATAGTTTTTTGCTAACTTTGGAGACAAATTCAGCAGACCTGAATCACTTTGTAGGGTCACCCCTGCAGTAAGAAATATTTCCATGGGAATGTCCTAAAGCAGGAAAGGTGCAACCTCACATTGAGCTGAACACTCAGAATGAAACTGAGCATTTAATTTGTTCCCTTTCAATAGAAAATTAACAAACTGGACTTTGGCTTTAGCATTGTGTTTCAATAATTGCTAAAGTTTGGGGAAGGATGATCAGCTTCCATTGCTACAGCTGTTGGTGATGTACTGCAACTGCTCTAGCAGAGTGGGGTTTAGATGGTGGTTGCTGCTACTTATTCCCTAATAAGCATCTCCTCTGGAAAAGCTGCTTGGGTAAGCATTCAGGGAAAGCAGTCAAATCCACACACACCACTCATCATGGCTAGCTCAGCAAAGAGAGGCAGAAGGGCCTTTTATATGGCCAGTTCTAGTGAGGTTTATTTCAGCACACTGAAAGGAAAGCAAGGCCAAAACACAAGACCATGGGCTCTGCACAAGGTTAAGTAGAGGAGGGCACAGGGGCGGTACAAAGGGCAGGGCAAAGGGCATTGGCTTTGGGGGAAAATGGGGCTGGCCACCAGGGGTACCACAACCAATGAGGGAGCAGACAGAGGAGAGACCAGGGGAAGTTGGGACACGTGGGGAAAGGAACAGGGATGGGTCAGTGTTAAGCAAGAGTCCTGGGGAAGTCCTTTCTGTCTGCCCAGGTGGGGTGAACTCTGTGGTGTCTCCAAGGGAGGGCTCTGGGGATTTCCCTGAGGGGGGAGGAATCACACTGCTAGACTGCAGATTCTGTTTGCTCATTTATTTGCTCTGGCAATTTATGCCCTTGAAAGCAGGAGGAACGATCTAGAAGTGGTTTGTGTGACAGGAGTTCTGTAAAGAGCAGATAACCTTTCTGTGGAGAATGTCAGAGAAGTAATCCAGGACCTTGAGGCCCCATGCAGGTTAAATCCCTTGTGTCCAGCAGGGAACTGTGCCCAGCAAAACACCATTTGATACTGGTTTTCATATTTTAAGACTTTTTACTTTTGGTACGCTATCTAATCTGCAAGTATTTCAGCAGCAGCCTGCAAGAATGAGGACAGTGTTTCTAATGGATTTAAAAGATTTTAGAATCATAGAATATTCTGAGTTTGAAGGAACTCAGAAGGATCATCAAATACAATTTGTGACCCTTCACAGGACACCCCAAGAATCCCTTCCTATTTCTACAGCATACAAGAACATTTCTTGAATTCTTGAATTGTTGAGTCCAACACTCTGCTTTTGTTGTGTTATTTTTCTTAGCTTGGTTGGTTGTTGGGGGTTTTTTAGTTTTGTTTTGTTTTGCTTTTTCTTATTTTCCTTCATTTTGGAGGAAGATTTTTATCTATGTATTCTTTTTAAGATACCTGACAGTATCCATCCAAACAATGTCACACTTACTTAGCTCAAGTTCCCTGCAAATTAAAGATATATATGCATGTGTTAGCAATTTTATAAATGTATCTGTGAAAATTGCTGACAATAGGATTAAGTAATTTTCCTTTTTGCACAAGCTAAATAATGTTAGCAAATTTTATGTTAATTAAAACTGCACAAAATGCTTGCCCCATCAAGGGATACTGAAATTGACTGTTCCTCCAAGCTAACTGCATGAAAGGTAAAATATTGTTCCTATTCCTGCAGTGGCACTCTGTTCTAGACATATTGCTGCAGATTTCAATGTTTCTCTTTAATGAAAATGCTTACATTCACTTTCTGACAAAAGTATTCGGCTTAACAGCACTTTTTGTGGCATTAGATTTTTAAAACATTTTATCAGCATTTTCTTTTCTTTTTAATTTTTTTTTCTTAATTAGACTATGCCCCAAAAATGCCCAGGAAGAAAAGTGGTTTTCTTATACTGTGGTTACATGGATATTCATTCAAATTATGTATGGAAGCCTATGTCAGCTGTTCCTGTTCTGCACCCATGGTGCTGAGGGACAACTGATTTGAGTTGGCTGCACATAAACTAGATTAGAACACAAAAATAGTCTCCTTTTCCTCTGCAATTTTAAATTTATGTTTCCTGACCTGATTCCCCACATTGATACCTGTATGGACAGGAGGAAGGGGTTGATAAAGGAGCTTTAGAAGCTCATTGTTGCTGAAAGACACAGGAAAGATCTGAAGTTATTGGGCTTTGCCAAGGAAAATCATTGCTGTCGTGCTCAGTCCAGCTGAGAAGCCACAGGTCAGGCAAGAGAACTGACTTAAGGGCTGCTCTTGTGGGTCCCTTCCAGCTCAGGATATTCTGTGATTCCATGGTCCAGTGGTGAACTGCAGGTGAGATGAGTCAGTCCAAGTCTCAAGGACCATTCAGGAGATTATTTGTCAGACCCTGGAGCAGCATCTAGGAGGCAAATTCCCTTCTAGACTGGGGATGTTTTGTGGCAATAGGGTAGCTCTGTCTCTCTTTGCACACACCAACTCAAACCAAATTATAATATAAAAATATTTTAAAATATTTATTTTTCCTTCCAAATCAGCTGTGGTGGTGAACCTGTCCATCTGCTTATTTGTTTCATGTTTTCTGATCAGCACCTTTAAAAATGAGTATTTATTTTCCAGTCATCTTTATAAATGGTGCATCTTGCAACATCATTAAGCCATGGAATAGAAATTCTGGATATTTTTTCCTGTCTGGACTTGAGCAATTTTCTGGCAGCAAGGACACAGACACCTGAACTTAATAATGTGTTTCTGTTGTTATTTATTTGTACTATTTTAGTGCCCAGGAACCTTAATCATAGGCCCAACTTTTATTGCAGTAGGATGTTCAAATGCAGACTGAAAAATGAGCATTTCTGTAAAGAACTTTAGGCTGAAATAATTGTCTCAGGCACTCTGAGCTGTATCACTGAGCTACCCAGGCTGGGGTTTGGCTCCAAATACAAGCACTTCTTGGGTTGAGAATGGGGATGCAGATGCCTGCTCCTGTTGATGAAGATCCAATTATTATCATCAGTGGATCCTGAAGGTCTCTTCAAACAGGCACCTACAAATGGGCCACTGAGCCACTGTTGAGGCTCCCTGAGCTGAGTGAGTACTTGCTGGCCACCTGTGAGGCAGCAAAACACATCAAAAGTCTTTGAAATATAAATAAAAATGCCATACCTCTGCCTTGCAATACCTCTGGGCTGTTACTGAGGCTTGCCTTCTGCTAGATAACTTGGTGGTGTAAGTCAGACCTGAGAGGGAGACCAGTACAAGCTGTACCTGTTATGGTCCTGGCTGGCAGTGATTTAATTAGTATAGACTTGTCTGTAGGGTGTGAGCTCAAGCCCTGCTTTTCTTAAGTAATTCAGGAAATAAATGATCTCCTCTGAAACACACAGTGTCCTTAATGTCCTTTTTATAATGCAAGTTAATACTGCAAAAGCTAAGAAAAGGATGTGCGCCCCAGCTGCAAAGCTCAGATTGAATTTAAACTTTTCCATTGCTGCTTAGAATTGGAAGATATTGCTCAGAGCAATCTTTAATAAGATCTATACCTTAAATAAAATAAATCAAAAAAGTCTTCACCTGTGAAGATTGCTAATGGTGCTGAAACAAAAGACATTAAAGGAGATTTTTTAGTAGTTTTTTCTCATTTGCTGCTCTGACTCAGTAAACCAACTCCAAGTAAACACATGGGGAAATAAATCTTCCTCTGTAGACAAAAGAGATCATGTCCATAGCTTACACTAAGTGATTAAATTAAACAAACACTGCCTTTCACTGGAAGCAGGAAACTCTCCTAGAAAGACTGCTATGTACAAAGTCAACTTTATTCCATACTTTTAGAGAGCTGCAAAGACAGTTTGGAGAATTTGTTGTTGACAGAACTTTTATTTTAAATTTAATGTTGGTACTCCAGTTCCAATGCCACTTGATGAAGTGACTGAGACTGGATCCGTGTATGAATTATGGCACTGTCACTGATGCTGACTACAGGACATATATTGTAGACAAATGCTCACATCTGTTGGCTCTTCAGGCTTTTGATTTTTAGTGTCATCAGCAGCAGCTTTTTTTTATAAGTTCTCTTACCTTTGTATTGATTTGTAAGGCAGGATTTAAGCAGAGAGAAAAACATGGTGCTCTAATGCAGCGTTACAGAAAACATCTCAAAATAATTTCCATTTTAGATTGGATATAAGGAAAAATTTCTTCAGTGAAAGGGTGGTCAAGCACTGGATCAGGCTGCTCAGGGAAATGGTAAAATCACTGTCCCTAGAGCTATTTAAAAGAAGTGGGACTTAGAAATGTGGTTTGGCAGTGGCTGTGGCAGCCCTGAGTTGATGGTTGGACTCGAGGGTCTTAGAGGTCTTTTCCAACCACAGTGATTCTCTGATTGTATAATTCCAATTCACAGCAGAAGTGGCTGGGGTGAGAAATGAAAAGCAGATTTGAGGAGCTGATCCTGGAATCCACTCAGATGCTGTGGAGGACAAGTGGAGGTCTGGAGTAGCAAAGGACATAGTGGGACACATGGGCTGCTCCACAAAACTGGCTGCAACAGCTTCATTTCTGATGGGAAAGGAATATAAATAAAGGAAAGACAGCAGAAAGGCAACAGCAAGAGGGGTCTGTGGGGTCTTTCTGAGAGGTGAAATTTTGGGGAATGTCTTTGGAGACAGGAAGAGAGAGTGGAAGGGAAAAGGCTGTCAATGCCTCAGTTACTCCTTTTGCTCTCATTTTGGCAGCAGACAGAATGCTCCTGTGTGTCCTTTCTTGTTTGTGAAGTGCTACACTGCAGTAACAGCCCAGACCAGAAACTGTTTTAATATGTGTTAAGGGCTTATCTAAACCTTTGTCATAGTGTAAGAGAACCCAGACAACACCATGGAATAATACACAGAAAATATGTTTGTTTAGGCTTTGCCTTCAGGTGTCTGGGAAACCCATCAGACTTCAGTTTTCATTGTGGAATGTCATTTGTTCACCTCCCTTTAAGACTTAATAATCCCTTCTTTCATGGAAAAGAGATTTAGGCCCAGCTGCCTACTGATGGAGTCACAGACAAAAGTTTCTGTTCCTTCTCAGAGCCTCCTTAGGGAGTCCACAACCTAAATCTTAAAATCCCTGCCTTTCCCAGCCCATCTTCCAGCAAGGTACACACTGGAAGAGGAGAGCACTGGAGAGTGGATTCTAGAGGACACATACAGCTGTGTCTCCACTATGAACAGTGTCAGATTTCTTTCTGAGCACTGCCACTGCATTTCATTGTCTAAGGAATGAGGCTGGATAAAACACAAGCCTGAAAAAAATCCACCCTCCACAATGTTTTTAAAGATATCCTATCCTGAAACATACACGTCTCTACACAATATTTAGATTTTAGGTTTTAATGAACATTTGAAATATTTTTGTTTCAGAACAGTAGTTTGGAAATATTCTGGTCTAAACATTTTATTGAAAAATTCCATGTTTTGCATTTGTTTTCCAAAGTGAATTTGTGTTGATCTGTTCTAAAATCAAGTTTTCATGTATCATTTCTTGCTCTGACACTTACAAACCACATGTCAGAGTGTTTACCAATTGGAAAAAAATACACCCTGTGATTATTTTCTTCTGGTTCAAGGTTTTCACAGGACAACACTGTGCTCTGGATTTGGGATAGGGACTCTCATCTGTGTTATTCATCAAATAATCTTTGAAAAAGGTGGTTGTGTAAATCAGGTGCTTTAATCTGGATTCACTTAAAAATGGAAGCAAAGAAAACAGATGGTGTGAGATTTTTTGGGGTAAACATTACACGCAGTCCTGCTGCTGTAGTTTTATCATGTTTGGTTTTTTAAAACATAACTAGATTCTGTCAGTTTGGTGAATTCTAATATTTAAAAAAATATTACTTGCTCTGGATTATACTCAGAAATCAGGAGAAGGGCTACAATATGAGATGTTGATACACAAATGAAACAGAAATTCTCTGCACTGTAGCAAAAGGGAGTGCTCTATAAAAGGTATTTATGATGTATTTCTGCCATTTTATTTCACTTTATCCCATCACTTGCTGTAGCCAGGCTGCAGAAAGCAGGAAACCCAGTAGGACAGTCGATGACTGCTGTGTGCAGTCAGCTGGAGCAGGCACCTGTGCATCTCCAAGGGATAATGCTGGACATTTCATAAAACTGTTTCTTTCTGTGTCCACCTCAGAGAAGATTTTATCAGAAGAGCTTCCCATTAGTGAGTGTAGCATTTGTTGGTACAATACATGGTGAGGCTACCTGTAAACCAGTTTGGGTATGATATCCTGAGTAATTATCTCTTGGAGGACAATGAAATTGAATTATTAGTGGCAATTTAGGAAAAAGATCAGATCAGTGGGATTCAATTTCAGGACTTACGGTTGCATAAGGTTATTGTGGTCTAGGATATGGAAAGTTTTAGAGAGTAATTAGAGATTGTCTTGGATAGTGAGAATACCAAGAGTTAGTGGGAGAAGGAGCTGGGATGAGGAGGATGTAGCACTTCACATTTTAGGGATTATACTGGTTGCTGACAGATGCTGGAGTAAGACTTTGCTTTTAGATCAGATCGACCCCTGCCAATTCACTGTGCAGGGTAACACAACATACCTGGGATTGCTTGGGCTGAGGCTGGGTCCTGACTGGGGTTTTTCACCTCCTGATAAAAATTCCCTGGTGTAGCGCTAGGAAGGATGTGTTTCCTGGTGGGAGACAGTTCACTTACTGACAGAGAACAAAACTGAGTTATTAGGAAGGAACTGATGGAATTGTCAAGGAAAGTCTGCAAAGATAAATTTACACATAGTCCAATCTGAATCAGTTTGTAGTTTTTGTAAAGTTTTACCTTTTTTCCCCAGTGCTCCCCCCATTCCTGATGGAAGCCCCCTCTTGCAGGCCATACCTTCTGTAGAGCTCCCAGCAGTGCCTTGTGGAGGTGGAGCAGGGCCAAGCAGAATTTCCATGTCCTTGGTGTGTGTTTGCTCCATCCAGCTGTGGCTGCACACAGTTGTTTCTGTGTGTAGTATATTCTCTTCTGCTGGGCTTTTTTGGACTGTTGAGTTTTTTCCTTGAATGGTGAAGCCTTTTTAAATGAAGGATTGTCTTGACCAGGTGTCTCCTAATGGGTGTAGAATCTTTAACTGCAGGATCCAACTGCGGGACTCCCCAGGAATGAAATCATCAGCATCAGTGCATCTGAAGGCACATCTTTTTGGGGTTGTTCTGCTGCATTCCCATTTGAGGCACTCTACAAGTGAGTGCTGTTGACAGGATAACTCCATGTCTGTTCTGAGTTGCAAGTTCTTGAGGCAAGTGAAGCTGCAGTTTCCTTTAGTGGTCTCTTTGCCCCATCTATTGGTGAGAGACTGTCCTAGCCCCTGGCTGAAGTTTGTGAATGTATTTTGTAAAATCACTTATCTGCCATCTCTGCCAAACCATGCCTCAAATAGATCCTTCTCCTCACTTTTTTACACCATTTTCTTCTCATCATCTACATTTTTCATTAAAAATAAATGCTAATATTGATCTATGACTTGTAATACCTTAATATTGAATGATGACAGGGAAAATGCTGTCTGGCCAATTTCTGTCTTGTATCAGTTGCTCAATTTCAAATCTTTACAGAAGTTTTGGGTGGGGTGGTTTGTTGTGGTTTTTTTTTTTTTTTTTTTTTTTTTTTTTTTTTTTTTTTTTAAGTAGAATCACAACAGAACTCCCCTTATGCTGAAAACTGAAAATTAGTGAGATTGTCATGTTAGAAAGACAGAAAGAAGCATCCAGGATAAAATTTCAGGTCAGTCACATACCCGTTTCTCACGCTGTTTGCTCAGGTCCTGATCCAAAAAATACATGAACACATTTCATTCTGAGCATAAGAGAAACCCTGTCTTGTCTATAGGGGAAGCTGGCAGTAGCAAACATCTTTGTATCTCAAGCAACATATTATGATTTCTCAAGGCTGGAAACAAATCTCTCATAGGAAGCCAAATCTAACAATTTGCTTGATGCATAAAAATAGATCCCTCTTTAAACCAGGTGGCTATTAAGAGAATATTTCTCCTAAGAGAAACAGCTGCTGCAAGGAAATGAGTAAGAATGTTAAGATATTTCCAACTGAATATGTTAATCAAGGTTGATGTCAAGCAACAAAATGGTGGCAAATTTTGTTTTAAGACACTTGAGTCATTGCAGCATTTCTCTTGGACTCATATTTTTAACCCCACCCTCCCAAAAAAAGCAAGCTCAAACCACAAGCCTGTTCATTCATTGTTGCTTTCAGCAATTTTTTTTTTTTTTGCACAGTTAAATTATTCACTTTGAAACAACATGAATCGAGGTTAACTTTGTTTGGATGCTTGAAGGAATCCCACTGGTCAAGCTCTGTGTTGTGGGTTACCCCTGATGGCCTTCCACTCCTCCTTCTCTTGTACTGGAGTGTGGGATGGAGCTCCCCTTGTAGCAATGACAGCAGTGAACATTTTCCCAGAAGAAAATGTTCAGCACGTCTTCATTGCCCCCTTGCTTTGGCATCTTGCATTTTTTGGGTAGAAGTTAAGCAAATAAAACTCAGTGATTTTGCCTGTTTCCTACAGGGCCCCTGTTACACAGGGGAGGACCTGAGGCTTTCAGCTACTACCAGAGAATTGGATAAATTGGATTTGTTTCCTCTCTTGCAGGGACCTCCAGGGCCCCCAGGCACGGCTGGACCCCCGGGACCGCCTGGACCACCGGTAAGAAAGCCTGGGGGGGTTTGTTTTATATCAAGGAGAAGAAAAAACAGCTGGAGAAAATTTTAGGTCATGGATTTCAGAGGGAACAGAGTTAAGGCCTCTGGCAATGTGGGTTTTCTCTTATATTTTCTCTACTGCAAAGCCACAGCTGGTCTTAGGGCACAGCTTCTCCCTGCTGAGCCTTGGAACCACATTGGTGCTTCCTGGGGATAATTCAGGGTCTCCAGGGCTCCCCACAGCAGTGACCTGACTGCAGTGGAAGGGAAAAATGTACTTCAAGTGAAAGCAGCAATCTGGAATGAGATTCCTGCAGAGAACAGAAATAATGATTGATTTTTTCTCCTGATTTCATTTCTCAGGGACTGCCAGGAGAAATTGGAGTTTCTGGTAAAACTGGACCACCTGGACCACCTGTAAGTGCGGAGGAACTGTTTCCCTCACCTCAAAGTTGTTCTTTACTTCAGATAGTGTAATTCTGAAGACTGCTTTTTTCCCCACATCTTTTCTGCACACAAGGTTTTAACATGGGCTCCAATACTGTCACTTTTAATCCACAAATTAATCTCAGATACCTTTTGTGAATAAGAATTTTACCAGGTGCAGCCCCACTATTCCTATGCAATTGGATCATGATATTTTCTTTATATGATACCTTTTAAAATTCCTTTTGCATTTGACACAATATTGTTTCTCCAAACCTGGAATTTCCTAAATCAGGCCAAATTACTCATTATTAAAATCTCAGATTTATCAGACTGTAGCAGTTTCTGTTGTTCTTAAGTCATAAAAACTGAATAATTAAATACTTTGTACAGAATTGCCACCTATAGTCTGCAGTGTGTGTGGATTGACTGACACTTGGAAAAGGGAAGAAAACTTTTTTCTCACCATTTTAAATGCATTACAGGAAGTAATTTTAATTCTTATCTTCTTCTTATCTCCTGAACCACTCTGTCACTATGTGCTATATAATTTAATTTTAGGTGTCTATCTACTGTATAAGAAATTACCAAGATTTAAAAGGAGAAACAGATGTAAAAGAAAAAAAAAAATATATATATATAGCTACAGGTAATAGGGACTTAGAGAGAATAAACTAAAATTTAAGTAAGGTACATAAAAAAATGTAAAGTTCCTCAGTACATAGAAGCTTTATACTGGAGTTTCTCTGTAACAATGCTGACATCCAGTGGTCGTTCATTAAAACTGGGATACTGGAAGAAAAGGCTGAGCAAATACGTAGTTTGAGAATTTTTGTGTCTTTTGAGACAAAGTAGGAAAAAAAATCAAAAAACAAAATGCATGAGGAGGTTTTTCTTTTCTTAAACTTAGGTGGGTGGCAGGAGAGATGAGCTGAGCATATTTATGCTGAGTTTGCTGGTCACAATTTAAAGAATTGGCACTTATAGCTTATGTTTTCCTCTTGTTTAGGGGCTGCCTGGCAAAGATGGACTCAGTGGGCTTCCAGGGCTTCCAGGTCAAAAGGCAAGTGACACCACAGGCACTGGGATTAAGCTGCTTACCCAGGCAGATCACTGGGGTGAGCAAGCAGGGGAAGCAGGAAAAACACAGCTGGGCATTGGAAACAGTCAATCAGGAAATCCAGTGACCCTGGCAAGTCAAGGCATATATCCAAGGCACAAAGAAGAAGAACAAAGAAGTGTATCAGGCTCCAAAGGTGTTCCTTTCTTTCCTCCCTGAAGGGCTGGAAAGAAGAGATGCCATCCCCCTGAGCCTTCTCTAGGTCTGTGTGGCAGAAAGTTGGTTCTTTATTATTCCCTGCTTCCTATGCCCCATTTGAAAGCTTTTCCAAATTATGTCTTGGAAGGGGAGTTGTCTCCGCCATTGTCTGTGCACTGGGAGAAGGGAAATAGTAAATCTAGAGATAGGAGACACTTGACTTCTCATGCCCCTGCAAATAAGGGACAAAGAAATGTACCATGTTTTGACTACAAAGGCCAAACTAGGTTTTGGGGATGATGATTATATTAAAGACTATTATATTAAAGAAAACAGCTCTTAACCATCTATTGCCTTGGATTGCATAGGCAGAGGTTTTCTTGCTTCTGATACTTGATCTCAGGTCTAGCAGAGTCCCCAGTTCCCATTTATTGGTGAATAAAGGTGAGGAATTTGCAGTCCATAACATATTTCTGATATTAAATAAAGTTTGGATTTTATCCAAACTTCTGTGTAGTACTTACTGCATTTCCCAGCTATGTAGTCACATTTCAGCTACTGCAGCCTCTGCCATCTAAGCTGACACCACCCACACTGGAAGATCAGTTTTAAAGTATTTACACAATGGATCCAGCGACCAAGGCCCCAGTCCCAAAATTTTATGGTTTTTTAAAATACTTCCTAACTTTCTAACCACATACAGTTTGAAGAAACTGAATGGAGGTGGTTTTTTCCCCAGATAATTCACTATGGACATCTTTAATGCAACAGTGATTGTGTTTTTCCAGAAATTCTCCAGTAGGCTGCTGCAGATGTGATTGCAAATGGCACTGGAATGGAAAAATATTCCAGGAAGCATATTCTTGTATGTCTCCATTTATACTCTCAAGGTGATCCTGAGGAACTGAGTTAAAATATTCCTCACCATTGACTGCAGATGTGCTGCACAAACACCAGAGGAGTTTGTGAATTGACTTCTTGTGTTCCCTGCAGGGAGAACGAGGGGAAAAGGGTGAGGAAGGCTTTCCTGGAAAAGCTGGCCCTAAGGTAAGGGATTGTACTTCATGGTCTGCTGAGTATCCACTGAGTCAACCAAGGTGTGATTTTGGAAGGTCTTATACTGAAGACAGGAGAAGAAGATTCCTCTGGAGTTGGAGACATAAGGGGATGAGCAGATGGGGTTCACTGACTTTCATAATGTTCCAAAATACCAACCCTTGTTTGATGCTCCCCTCTCAAGCCTAAGTGTGTGGGGAGATCTAACCTGAACCTTGGCTCTCTGCAGGCTGTGTTCCCAAGCCATCAAAAAGGCAATTTCAGAGCCTTGTGGGATGTAGGTAGAACAACATGGACCAGTAGGGACCAGTAGGGACCACATTTTGCTAATGAGGAAGTGTTCTTACCAAAGGGTCCTTAAAATGTTATAGATTTGCTTTTGTTTTTCCAGGGTGAACCAGGGAGCCGTGGCCAACCTGGTGAGCAGGTGAGCAGAAAAAACAGTCTTAACAGCAAACTTGACCTGTCAAAACAATAGCAAGTGACCACATGAGATAACAAAGCCATTGTAACATGCAAGATCTGTGCATGTTACTTGCATCTGTGATTGAAGGTGCAACAGTTGTATGGGTGAGACTTATGGTTGATTTTAGAGGTCTTTTGGAACCTTAATGATTCTGTGATTGATGGAATAAGGCTACAAAGATGAGGCACAAATTGAGGTTTATTGGGATAAGGCACTCAATAGCAATTACCCCACCCTGTGAGTCTGAACTGTACTGCTTCTATTCCAAAAGTCCTTACAATCTGCCTGATAGGTATCACTCAGTTCCCAGGAAAGTATCCTTACCTGGTGTTCCAGGTAAGGGGAAATCACCACAGCATGGGCAAATGATTCCCCAGGAGTGTTTTCATCAGGCTCCAAGGGATGAGTGGTTTCTGTGCCCTTCTTTGATGTCATTTCATTGTAGCTGGGTAAACAAGCTACCAGGCTTAAAGTTTCCAGGCAGGCTTGGTCCAAGTGCCACAAGGGGCCAGACCCCAGCCTGATCACTGTCCCCACACAGACCTGTTTTGAATTTCAGCACCACCTTCCAAGGCACTTGTCCCTCTCTCCACAATGTGATGTTCTCTGTTTCATAAATGTTCTCTTTCCTGTCATAAGCTGAATAGTGCTGTCCCTGAGAGGACTTCACTTCATATATCCTCTGAATTTTGACAGTAGTTTGCTCATAGCAGGTATATGAATGCTGTTTCTTCATTCAGTTGTACACCACCCTCCAGGTACCATTCTACACTACATTTCTGTGGTTACAGATCAGAACATCATTTTGGCCTATGCAAGATATTTTACTAAAGTCAAGATACATCAGGAAAATGCTTTCTTCTTGTCTGCTTAGTTTTCATGTCTAAGGAGGGAACTGGATGGGTTTGATACAATTAGTTTTTAAGAAATCCACATTGGCTGTTTTGTAGTATCTTTCTGTCCTTGAACTCTTACAAACTCAATGGTATTTTGCTTCAGGACCATTTCAGAGGCCAAATTTAAACTGTGTTTTTATTTACCCTCTCAATTCTCCTCTGTGTCCTTCAATGTTAGATGCTTTAATTACTCTCTGAATCTCTGGAATGGCTGGGATCTCATTGTCATTTCCCTTCCTGGAAGTGTCCAAGGCCAGATTGGAGCAGCCTGGTTGAGGGGAAAGTGTCCCTGCCCATGGCAGGGGGCTGGAATTAGAAGATCTTTAGGGTCCCTTCCAACCCAAACCATTCCATTATTCCATGACAGCCAGGATCCCACAGTAGCTCTGAGAAAGCATCACTCCATCTGCCAACAAGTGCCACTTTCTTTAAAATTCTCCCAACATCACCTGGATGTTCTTAGTCATCCTTAGTTGCTACAGTATCTTGTTCCTCACCTGATTTTATCTACAGACCCATTGCACCTCTACCATGATAATCTTTTGTTCTCTCTATACTTAAGATACTCTCTTTAGAGCAGGGATTACCTTTTCTTAGTTCAGTATTTGTAAAAGACTTTGCGAATTTTGGTCTTATCCATGACTGTTCTACTTTGTGGTATTGCACTATAAATTCAGATAGAAAAGAATTATAAATGGGAAACCACATGGTTATTTTCATATTACAAACTGGGTCAACTGGGAGCTAAATTTGAGAGTACTTGATATATTTAGGAGAAACCACATGACACAGAGATCATAGTTACTCCAACAACAAGTATTATAAAGCAGAAACTCAAAGGTAATGTTCAAACAGAAGTAAATCCAAATGTGCAATAGTGCACTCAAATAATTCTAGATCTGCTCATCAGGTGACATCTGTACTGTTCAGATGAATACACTGCAGTTTTTGCATTTCCAGACTACACCAGATCATTATGATGAAAATAAAATTCAGATTGTATTTCTTTTTCTGCTTTCATTTGCTTGTTTGGTCCTGCTACAGACCAGCATGAAGGAACTACATCCTAAATTTTGTGACATCAGTTAACAGGCAAAAAACCAGAGAAGTCTTAATTGCTGCTTTAAGTAATGGTTTAAAAAAACCAAAGAAATTATTTGATAATCAAACTAATCTTACTCTCTCTCAGCAAACTACATCTACAGTCAATCTCATGAGAAAACTCAGGCAGAGTCTGTCTTACAGAATTCAGATTTCACCCACTTTGTCTTATTTTCAGGGTGAAGCAGGTTTTCCTGGTCCTAGGGGATTACCTGGACTGAAAGGAGAAAAAGGAGACCAGGTGAGTGACTTGGAGCCACAAATTGTTCTTCTTTTGGCCATTTTGCATCAGGAGGACTTGAGTGTCCCTAGATGATGTTGTGCCTTGGTGTGATGGCTGTGGTGAGCAGCTGATTGGCAACCAGCAAGGTTACCAAGCACCCAAGAAGGTATTCCCTGCCTAGTGACTGTTCCCAATTAACACAGAGGTGCTAATGAACAGTATCTATCCCAAATGGGAGGAGTTGTGCCATGCTGCTTGTGAGGCAATAGAGAAGGTTAGAACTCTAGAGGTCAGATTGTACTTTAGAACTCCTTTTCAGAATTACTTGCCTGATTTAAGGACATTTGAAATTCTTGATAACAACAAAAAAATTACTAATTCACCTCATCACTGAGCCCTGGAAAAGGCTTCAGATGGCTGAATTATTTTCTGATGGCTTAACTTCTGCCCAAGTCCTGGTGTCTGCTGCTTCCTCTGGGTAGCTGCAGAACTCTGGAGATGTGTTCATGCCAGGAAATATTTGGGTCAAGGGCCTGAAGTAAATTTGGCCATGTCAGTGAGGTCTGTAATCCTGATAACTGATGACACGCTTGAATGTGATCAAGAGGATCTAAAATCAGCTGAGGTTTTCCATGCAGTTTGCTCCATTTTATGCCTTGTAGAGCACAGAATTCAGAATATATTAATGGCAAAGGTTTGAAACTAAATGATCTTTAAGGCACCTTCCAACCCAAACCAAAAACAGTAATATGAATATTCATTCTGGGTCTTAACTGCTGTTTTGCTGCCTCTTTTCCAATTAGAAAAAAACCCTCTGCTTTTTATAACTACATCAGGCAGTAGGATCTTCTACAAGCAAGTTATTTTAGGATTGGTGCTTTACTTTCTGTGAAGTCAATTGATATTCATTGGTTTTCAAAATATAGTTGATTTTTGAAGCCATCTTCAAAATGTTACATTTTTAATTGCTTGCTCTACATCTTGGAAGATAGATAACTGAGAGTGTAAAATGTTTTAGTGAGGCTGATGCATTAAAATCAAAATGTGCATGTTTCTTGATTTCCTTTCCCTTCTTATAGGGAGAAAAAGGAAGAGACGGTCTCCCAGCAATGAAAGGTGAAAGAGGAGAAAAAGTAAGTCATGAAATTATCCTGATTTTCCTTAGACAAGAGAGGAGAACAGACAAAGGGGCAGAGACAAGTGATAGAGGAGGCTGAGGAAGACTAGAAAATTTGGAAGACCTTTAGCTGAACTTTACAGTTCAGCTAAAAAAAAGTCTAACTTTACATAGCAGAAATAGCTATGTGTGGGATGGAGACAATAATTTATTGAGCAATGAAATCTGATGAAATAAAGGACAATTTCATTAATTCAAGGAAAACTTTTTTTTTAAATTTGGTTAAAATTTTCTCTTTTTTTCAGTTTTATAACTGGCTAATATAAATGACCCTAGAACTAAAATCTAAGAAGTTTTCTGTGCCTGTCTCTGGAGGATAGAACAATAATTTAAGGAACAGTTTGGGCTTCTGCCATCACAACACCATTGATTTTAGTGAAAGTGAGAGAAGTAGACAAAGGAAATGTCCACCAAAATTTACATTCAACCCTTGTGAACATGAAGGTGAAGAAGAAACACTGACCTTGCAGATGCTTGTGGGGGTATAGTAGAAAAACTGCTCTCATTACTGAGGCAGTGGCATTCAGGATGTGAATTCTTCCATCAGTCCTCAGTTTATCAGTGACTTTCACCACCTGTGGAGGTAGGAATTCTTTCATGGGTGATCCACTGACACCAATAAGGCACCTAAACCTCCTTTACCCAGGAGGTTAACAAGTGTTGTTGGTAGTTCTTGGCTTTCAAGTGTCAGGGGTCAGATGTTTGTGGAGCACAGCCACAGGAAGGTCAATGCCAGGGCTCAGGAGATCCTCCAGCAGCAGCGTAGTTTTAACTCAAAATTAGGGGGGAACTGGATTTAGCAACTTAAATATTTGATAAAAAACAGATTTTTTTTTAATCAATGACAGAAGTTCAGCTAAAATATGTTGTTCAATCAAGACTTTTGGTCAACTTTAATGTAAAAAGCAAATTAAACTCCATATCCTAAACTGGATGGGACAACTTTAGAAATTCATCAACCTGTGAATTCAGGTTGATGATAAAATCATAGAGGGATGAAGACAACAGAATGAGAATCCTGCATGCAACAAAGCAAGGACAGCAAAAATTCAGTCCAGAAATGTCACTGAGCTGGGGGGTTGGGTTGTATCTCATCTCTAATGCTGCATCTCTAAATGATAATGTTGAATTTTATTTGGGAATCTTTTTATGTTATTGGTTATCTTTTTTTCCTCTCTCCAGGGTGACACAGGATCCCCTGGACCCCCAGGCTTACCTGGAACAGTAAGTAAGATTATGATTGGTGCTATAACAATATTCAAGGTATCATTCTTCCACATAAATTCCTCAGAAACAATTTTCAAGTTTCTTCTCTGCAGAAACTTTGGGACCTATTTACTCTGAGATTATCTCCTTTTGTTTCAGAGAAGCAATATCAAGGTTTATTTGGTCTTTTTAATTTTTTGGTGAGGTTTTACTTTCCTCTGCCTCTTTGCAAAAACAGACCAAGAATACATAAATTTATTGTTTTCAAAATCAAGATGCAAAGTTTGTTTGAAGAGCCTGAGTATAATTACAAGTTCATAGGTGATTAAATCAGCACCCACTGAATGTAAATACACAAACCTCTGAATTCCCTCTAAGAAAACCTGAGTAAGCAGCTTGGAATGAGCACCATCATTGCAACTAGAGGATTTATGCCAGTCACAGATCCTCCAAGACATGGCACACATCCTCTCATCAGCTCTGCTCACCACAGCTGGATACAGCTGCCTCATTCACAGGTTATGGAGAAAATCTGAATCAAGGTCTGTTGGTTGGTGAAAATCGAGTGCCTAAAGACCTTGACACAGCAGTGGAGTGTTAGAATGTGAAATGCAGGGAGTTCTCAGAACTTTGGGCCTGAAAGCCAAAGCTTAGAGTTAAACATAGGATTTGGTCTGAGACCTTGGAAGAGGCTTCCAAACTTAGGTGATAGAAGCAAGAATGTGGATTTATAGTTTAAAGCAGAGACACGTTGAGTTAAGAAGAGGAAAGTTTAAGATATAGAAAAGATAAAAGTAGTTACAAAGGTAAACAAGAAGTTTAGAATGCAGTCCTGTAGGTTTGTGTGTCATTACGTGATTGACTAAGAAAGCTTACACTGTAACATGAGTCCGTAAGACAAAATATTTAAGGATTGGGTCAAAAACATAAATATCCTTGTGGGCAGTGTTTTCTTGGTCAATAAATCTTTAAAAGGTCTTGTAACTAGAGGTCTTGTGACCTTCTGAACCATGTTATGAATATGTGAGCTGAACTCACCCTTCCTGCCTGTGTAGAAGATAAAAATAAATTGCATCGTTTAAAAACTCAGAGGTCCTGTCTCTAACTCATTCAAAATTCCTTCAAAAATCCCCATAATGGAGAAGGTGATTTAATTTATTCTCTGCCATTAGCTGGGCCTCAGTCTAGGCCAGATCACTTCATGGTGCTTTGTGTAGAAAGACTCCACATGTCTCAGGCAAGAATGACCCAGTCACAACACCAAAGATGAATCTGTGTTGGTAAAGGCAGAAAAGGCAACTCTCAAACAAATACAACATGGCTGGACATGGAAATGTGTGCCACTGCTCAAGCTTCCTGTGCTTGTAGGGAGAAATTATTTCTATTTGTCATGGTTTAGGAATGGTAGTCCCCAGTTTAGCACCCCTGATCCCCCAAGACCCCAAAACCAGCCTCTGGTCACTCACTTCCACTTTTTCCCTCTTCCACCCACATGTGCCCAGAGAGGAGAACTGGAGGCACAAAGGGCAAAGATTGAGGGTTGGGATAAGAACAATTTATGGAAACAACTATAAGATAAGAAAACAGACAATAGCAAAACAAACAATATTAATAACAGAAGTGGTCATTAGAGAGAGTGGAGCTTGACCTGACTGCAGCCATGCCACCCAAAACACTCCCTCTGGTCAGGACCAGCATTATCCCACTGCTCCATCTGCCTTCCTTGCTCCAACAGAAAGGAACATCCTTCCCTTCTCCAGAGTGAGAGAAAAAGCCCTTTCCTCCACCCCTGGCAGTGGCATGAGGTGGTATTGAATAACATAATGTCTTGGCCATGCTCCCTCCCACTGGTCTAGGCTGGAGCCAGGGCACTGTTTCAGCTGTTAAAAGTAGGTAGTGCTTTTGTCAAGTCTTCATGTCATCAATGTCTATTTTTTTTTTCAAAATTTTATCAGCTTTGAGAAAAGATACTGTCTCTTTCTACAAAACTTTATAATTTCTTTTTGTGGCTATTCCTTCAGAGTGACTATGTATTCCCATTGAGATTTCATTACATGGTACAAAGCAGAGGGAGAACACACTCATTCATGGTATTAGGAAATTTAACAATACAGAAGATGGCTCTAAGTGGAAAAGTGAGCTGGAGATTGCTAGCAGTAAAATTGCTATAAAGTTTAAAGATTGATTGTTTTTTCATCATGGTAGGACACAGAGGATAGTCTTGACTTTCCGTTCATATTTCAAATATTCTGGGAGATTTAAGATATTTGTGACCTTCTTTCCAAACACCCAGATGTTACAGTGGGTTGCTCTTTTATAAACCTACTTATGGAATATATGGAATGTGCAATCTGTAATGACAGGAGTATGTGTAAACTATTGCATTTAAGGAAAATAGGCTGTCATGGTTTTAACACTCTGGTTTCTGTTCCAGCCAGCCTTCTTCACCCCACACCCCAGGATTCCTGTAAGTAACATCTCTAATAAATATGGCCTCTAGCTTATCCCCTCTTGTATCTGGTAGACACACCCCTTAGTGTTTTCTGTGTTATTTAAATGCTTTCAGTAAAGAACCCAGATTTAGTCTGGTTCTGGGCATCCTCACCACTGTAACCAGCTATGAGAAGTCCAAAGCTGTGCTGGTAAGATCAGCAGTCAAACCAACTGTGGCTGGGACAGAGCTGTGTGCTATCCCAGCCTCTTAATCCCAGTGTAAAGTGAAGATTTTGTTCCCATTTGTAGCACCTAGTGGGAAATAAATGACATAACATGATCTGTGAATAAGTTTGTTATGCATCAGGAGGTTTCATGGATGGCAGAGGTAGGCTGTAGGAGTCCCATTAGAAAGAGAACATATATGCCAGGTTCTTCAGAGGCTGAGGAAGGAAATGAGGATGTGAAGCAGTAGTGGAGAAAGAGATAAGATTTCTTTGGCTTGCTCTTCCCCTTTGCTCAAAGGTTATACTTATATATATATATATATATTTATACACTCTAAGGAAACATGCAGAACAATGACATCTTACGTGGTCTTTGTAGTGCTACAGTCACAGAAAGTTTTTCCTTTTGCTTTGAGTACATTGCTCTGGTAAATGAGCTGCAAGACAGTAAGAAATAAAAGGCTTGAAGTGTGTCAGCTGTTCCATTTGCTGGGATTTCTCCTTGTGCAAGATGACTCTGGTGACACCTGCCACAGCACAGCTCTGCACATAGCAGTGTGAGGGAGGAGAAGGTAAGAACAGTTGGATGTACAGTTGTACACATTAAAGTGTCAGAAGGAGGTGATGAGCCTTAGGAGAGTGTCATGGGTAATGTTACAGAGGTGGCAGGACCAGCAGGATGCTGACAGGTGCTCGTGTGCTCTCCAAAAACAAATCCTTGCCACTGCTTCCCATTGAGTGGGTGTTTATTGTACCAGGGAACTATTTCCTATATATTTAGGCTAGTCAGGTAGGATCATGAAATATTCTTGGAGATGGGATGAGAGAACCACAGTAGTGGTCAGGTATAATGGCTGGAAAGAGGCAAAAGCAGTAAAAAAAAGAGGTGGCTCCTTACTTTTCCTTCTGTCTCCCACTGTGTCCAGGCACAGCTGGACCCCCGCTGCACTTGCTTTCCTTTTGGTAGCACAGGAATTACTGAGGCATAATTGAGACTACAGGAGGACACTGCTGAGAGCAGGTCATGGGAGCTGTGAGCCCTCTTCTGGGCCAGGCTGGAGGCAGCTGGCAGCTGTCACTGTCTTTTGTGTGCACTGAGGGGGAGGTAAGAAGTGGGTGGCAATGGATTGAGAGCAGCTGCCAGTGGGCAGCACTAGCAGGCAGTGGTAACAGCCTTGGCAGAGTCATGGATTTGGTGAACTGGAAGGACTTGCAGGCAGGTTTTCTGGTGGGTTGTGTTAACAAAAGCCAGTTGTGTCCTGGGCTGCAGCTATGGCCAGCAGGTCAAGGGAGGTGATTCTATCCCTCTGCTTTGGTGAGACCCCTCATGGAGTGCTGCATCCAGCTCTGGAGCCCCCAGTGCAAGGACATCTTGGCTCTCGTGGAGTAAATCCAGAGAAGGCCACAAAGATAATTAGAGGCTTTTAAACTGTCAGAGAGTGGGTTTAGATTAGGTATTTGGAAGTAGTTCTTTACTGTGAGAATACTGAGACACTGGTACAGGTTTTCCAGAGAACCTGTGGGTGCCTCATGCCTGGAAGCATTCAAAGCCGTGTTGGATGGGGCTTCAAGTGCCTTTCCAATAGCAGAGGGGTTGGAATGAGATTATTTTAAGGTCCCTTTCTTCCCAAACCATTGTATGAATCTGGGAAGAAATCCTTCTTCTGCCCATGTCTGTGGCTGTTAGATTTTGCACTGCTGTGCAAGTCAAGTATCAAGGAAAAAGTGGAAGAAAGGAAAATCTTAAAAACTTTCCCCATTTATCTCATGTTACTTCTTCACTTTGCAATTTTGTTTTCCCAGTAATGTACATCCTTATTCCCACTCAGTAACACCATCTCTGCCTACAAATGTACTGACCCCCCATGTCTGTGCTTTGTCATTTTGCTTTCTCAAAAGAGTTTCAGAATTTGAAATGTCATTACACAAAACAGCTTCCAAGCACAAACACACAGGTTTGCAGCTTTAGCCCCTTTGCTTGAGCTGCTTTAGGTGATCCTGGTGTTTTTCTGAAGGACACTAGATGGCATCAGGGACTGCCTGGTTAAAAGTCGATCTAATGGGATGCTGTTTGTAGTGTAAAATTCCTCCCATTATCTACCACAGATTATAATATTTATTCATAATGCATAATTAATACAAGCATAAGTAATATTTATGCAGCTACACTTATTTTATCTGTTAGAGAATCATTTGAAAATGGACTGTGAATTCCCAGGTGTTGCAGAAATGATTGGCAAATAGCAGACGTAAATAAAATTCAAGCTGATTTGTCTGGCTCTGCATTTTGGCTGATCACAATTCCTTGCTTGTGTGTGTAGCTTAAATCACTGATGTTCTTACTCTTCCTTGATTGCATAATTGAAACACTTGGTATGATAAATAATGAATAAGTAATGATTGCTGTTGCCTGAATGCATACGTTCATAACAATATACAAAAGTGAGTATTGGTGGAGTGTAGTGCCTGCTTTATTCCAGCTAGTTCCATAATTGTGTGCTTTCCTTTTCAATTTATAAAAAGCAGACATATGGATTTATTGATTATTGCTCTAGACCACAGGACAAAGCTGATGAACTTCTGTCTGAATGCATATTCAATTTACTGTAAGGAGGAAGAACAGGAATAAATTAATCTTATTAGGCAGTGATGGTGGTGCATGAAAAAATGTACTGTCATTGCAGGAGGGAGAGGAAGCTGCATGGATGTATGGAGATGTTAATAGAACTAGAGATCAGGAATAACTGTGTAGTGCTCACCTCTGGAAATGCTCCAGATGATCACTGGACACTTCTCTTTTATAGATGGAATAGGGAGCTGTATCTGGGATCACTGTAGGATGACATCAGGGCTCTGGTCCTACTGAGAGGTAGTGCAGTGGCACTGGTGCTTTTGCTGTTGGTCACATCATGTGGCCTTTAAAAATGTTAGAGATTTATTTTTTAATTTGGGGTATAGTCTTAGCTACTCTTCCACCTGTGGGCAAAATGTTCTCCTTTTAAGCTGGGTATTTTTTCAGTTAGTATTGGAACAGACCAAGGAGTCCAGACAGTGATCTCCATATCTTAGTGTGGCATTCAGTTTTGACTCATTGACCTCAAGGTCCTTTGAAGAAGCTACTTTGTGTCAGAAATGGGTAACTGATTGAAAGAGCCCACTTACTAAACAGAACTAGTGTGATTTCCAGCCCTGGAAATAGCTTTTATTTCTCTCTTTGTCTTATTGTTTTATATCAGGGTGAACCTGGACCAAAAGGGGACAAAGGAGATCGAGGAGTGACTGGAGAACCTGTAAGTACAGCAAAGAGAGGACATGAGAGTGGTCAGTTTTGGAGGGAGAGGGTGGGACATGCTCCTGCAGCTGTGATGCTTCTCTCATCAAAAATAGCCACAGTGGTGCTTATCTTTGTGCTGCCTGTAGAGGAAGCTACATGACTACTGTAGTTTAGGCACCTAATCTGTAGTTCTGGGCCTTAGCAGCTGAAAAGAGGACTATGGGATTTGCTAGGCAGAGCTTGGCTGGCAGTAATTTATGTGCAGGATTTATTAAGGGATTTTGAAGTGATGTGGCCCAGCTAAATTGTGCATTTGGGTACCACATTTGTATTCTGGACTTTCTTGTTCTGGATGGAGCTCCTAGAAGAGACAGAGCCCTGTGCAGTGACATCCTCTGTAAAAATCATACTTCTCTCAGTGGAAGGAGCTCCTTCACCTCTCCCTCTGTTTTGCAGGGATTACCTGGGGTCCCAGGTGAGCAAGGTGTGCCAGGACCTGCAGGAGTACAGGTAAGAGGGACCTTGAAGAAAATCTTTGACATGACTAGAGAGGAGTGCCCTCAAGGTCTGTATCACTGTAAATAGTCCTTCCTGTACACACCAACAGCCCATTTCTTTGTTCTGTAGAGGTTTTTACTTCTGTTGGACTGCAGGACAGCAGGAGGAAAATCAGCTCAGAGATACATTATCTCTGTAGCATAGTCAGTATTGTCTGAGAGACTTCTTCCAGCTTCATGGTCCTTCAAGAGGGCATCTTGTACTGCTGCTACCAAATCACAGGTCTTGCAGATAAATCACATTTCCAAAACAGTGCAGAGCAGTCAGATTCAACCCTAGCTCATCTCACCTGGAATGAGCAATGGTTCATGTGAAATGGTTCTATGGTCTCAGCCATCTTCAGTAAATGTAGTGTCACACAAAACTATTTCCAATCAACACTGAGGTGTTTCCATTCAACATGGGTAGGTGTTCACTCTGCCATCATACATGCTGTGCCCAGCCTTTATAATCAGCCATACTTGGGCCTCAGCACCTTAAACAGGTTTCTGAGCATGTCAGCAGCAGTCTGAGCATTCAAAAAAAAAAAAAACCCCATAAAAAAACCACCTCAAACCAAGCAAAACCAAACCCCCCAAAACCCAACAAAAAACACAGTAATGCCATGCAACTTTTAACTAACATCTTCTAAATGGGGGACAGTTCAGTGAGTAGACTGTCCTCCAAAATTCTTCAGAAAGGGCTCTCTGATATGTATGATTAGGACAAACCCTCTGCAAGGGGATCTCTTATTACCATTTCTAGATGACTGATGTTTATATTTTAGAATTGCAGGTGAGTCTTCTGTGAAGGGAGACCATCAAAGTTCCACTGGAAATGAAGTAGTTGGTAGGCCTGAGGATAGGAAGGAGTTTCACCCAGGTGAATACCTGCAGGTTTCAGCATCCTGTGCTGAGAAACAGTATCTGAGCTGATCAGTCATCAGTAACTCTTCTGAAGTCTCAGGGTTTTATTTTTATAGTTCCCTTTCTTACTGCATACAGAACTGGGAGCTGTTTCCTCAGCCATTAACTCCTCTGTGAATTGGTTAACAAAACCAATTCCTAGTACACATTCAGGAATCTTGAAGCCTTTTTGTATGGCAGGAGGTCTCCTTCCATGTCTAATCAGCTGGTATCTCTCCTTTCTGCACAGGGTGCAAAGGGGGAGAAAGGAGCCCGAGGAGAGGCTGGAGCCCCTGGGGAGACTGTGAGTAACTTCCCTTGCAGCATTTTCCCCTGGCAGTGACACGCCTGAAGGGACACTGACATCAACATCTTGTGGATTTGCAGTCTCAGGCTGCTTGATCACAGAGCACATCCTCATCCATAGCTGGAAGAGGCTGTTTGTGGGCAAACAGGACCATCTGCACCAAACAGATCAATGCCCCATTCAGCCCAGCTCAAGGTTGTGCATCTTTTCCTGCTCAAATCTCTCCCTGCTTAACAAAACACCCTTTTGTGAGTAAGTGTGACTGCACTGCAATGTCAGCCCAGCTCAGGCAGGCAGCTGGAGCAGGGAGCTCACTGCTCAGCAGCAGCAGCAATTGGCTTTTCACCGTGGGTGCTTTTAGGCTTCACTGTTGATTCTGCTGGTTTTTTGTTTTAATACTGGCTCATCCAGAAGACTCATCCCACACCCCTTTTTTTGAGGCATTTGTTGTAGGGAGTGCTGCTCTTGTCTGTGTGCTTAGGAACAACAAAGGATTCCAGTTCAGTTTTATTATTGTAGGAACACATAAGACCTTTGCAGCTGAATAAAAGCTGCAAGCCAAAAAGGAAGAAACACTGAAGAACTGTTTGAAATAATGATTAGAGAGGGAATGACTGATTAGGAGAAGGAAGGAATAAGAAATTCAAATCATGCATCATAGAGCACTGAAATTTCTTCTTCTACCTTTGTGTTCATGGTTTTCTTTCTTGGGCTTGTGCTTAGGCAGTGTCCCTAAGGAGTGCTTTGACCCTAAACCCTGAACTGCCTATTTTCAGGAGTATTTCACTCTTGGTTGAAGGACCCCTTAGTATTTTGGAGAGGACGAAAAAATAAAAAAAAAATTAAAAAAAAAGAGAGATGGCAAAACCTATCCCACTTCCACAAAAACCCATTCCTTGGTTTTATTTTTGGTGAACCTGGTGGCTCAGAGGATGTTTATGATGTGGAAATGCAGATATTTGCAGGCACCTTCTCTTTTCTTGCCATCATTTCACAGCCTGCTGCTGTTCCATATTTCTATTGGCTCACAGACCAGTGACTGTAAATAACACAGAAATGAGGAAACCTTTAAACCTCTGCTATGGGCAAAGGCTGAGAGGATTGGGATTGTTCAGCCTGGAGAAGAGAAGGCTCCAAGGACATCTCAGAGACCCTTTCAGTGCCTAAAGAAGGAATACAACAGAGCTGGAGAGGGACTTTCTGCAAGGGCATGGAGTGATAGGACAAGGAGGAATGGCTTCAAACTGAGAGTAGGTTTAGATAAGTATTAGGAGGAAGTTATTTCCTTTGAAGGGGATGAAGCACTGGCACAGGTTGCCCAGCACCAGCTGGTCTAGAGGAAGGTGTCCCTGTTTATGACAGAGGGTTTGGAACCAGCTGATGTTTAATGTCCCTTCCAACCCAAATCTATGATTCCATGAAACCTCTAAATATAGGCTGATAACCCCAGACATACATCTCTGTTGGGACATAAATCCCCAAATATATGTCCTCTAATGAATATATGTCTCCCATGAAATTTTGGAGACACACATGGGCTTTTTCATGCTACAAAGCTTTATCTTCCAAACAGATGAAGACCTGCAATTCAAAACTCTACACTCTGGATGGTTTAGGCTATTTCACCTGTTTAGTGCAAAAGAATGTTTTCAGGTTTTGTTCCCCACAGCAGAGAAAGGTAGAATTGTCAACAAAGCACATTTTGTTGACCTACATTTTTTTTTATGAGAAATCAACATACTTTTCTCTGTTCTTCTGATGTTTCTGGCCCAGACTTTCCTTCCTGTATCTGAGCTAGATTTAGGGTTTCTTTTCATAGAAGGTAGCTTTAAGCTCCCAAAGAGAGCCTTCATCCATTTTGTATTGTTTCATTACTCTTTACACTAAAAAGTTTCAAACAAATGTGCTATTTTTTGCCTTCTTGATGTACAACACCTTGTCTGACATGAAATCCAATCTCACTTAGAACATCTTGTTCCTATGGTGATACAAGTTGTGATATGCACACACACACACACACTTCATCTTTCTTAAAACAGGGTTTGAGTGGACCAGCAGGGCCCCCAGGTCCAAGAGGCTTGCCAGGAAATGTGGTAAGTATGCACCAGTGTATTTGTTTTCCCATCTGTGCCCTGATTTCTTTATTTAATGTGCTTAGTTTTCCCTTCCATGGGGATTACTATGAAGTTCAAAAGGCTGTGTTTCATTAAACTTGTTTCTTATGGCTGAATTGAAAGATCTGGAGGCACCTGGGAATGGTGTATCCATTAACTGTCTTCTCATATTCATTTTATCAAGGGGAGGAAGGGAGCTGCTTCATTCCTCACCAAATTGTTAAAAGCAATTTTTGCTGCCAACTCTTCAAGAGAAAAAAATTAATGTTTATTGTGTCTTTGGTTTTGTTTTCGTCTTTTTTTTCATTTGTCCTCTCCTTTTGTAAACAAGACTTCTTGGTATAAAAATAACATCGTAAACTCCCACTTTTGTTATGGAAACATGTAGGCATTTGAGCCTAAAGACCCTTGAAATCAATCCAGTGTCCCCTTACTTGGGGGTTCATCACCACTATTAATTTTGAATGACAAAATTTTTCATATTTGCTAGAAAAATCTTTGGATTAACTCTACTCCCAGCTCCACTATGGTAATTTTCTTTCTATTTCCTGGGGTTTCACTGGGCACTGACTGGAGTAGGTGAAAAACAGCATTTAGACCTCAGGATATGATGTATTCAGGCACAGGGCTTAGACCATAGCACTGTTAGAACCAGAGTTTATTACCTGGGCAATCCAAGAAAACTTAAATTGCCCTTCAACTAATTGTTAAGATACATTTGATTTAATTGTATTAATGTAGTGATTTAATTTCAAACGGAAAGGTGATATTGAAAATTAAGAACTTTTCAATTTCATATTCCATTAAGCAAACTTCTACACCAGTAATACCAATATATTACCTATAAAAGCCAATATAGTTGGAAATAATTTCTACTGGTGCAGAAAGGAAAATAATTATCACATCCATTCTGAGGTCAATCCAATCTTAATGGTGCCAAGACATGATTTCACATCTTAAAATGGAGTACCATTCTAAGATATGTTTTGGTTATAGGAAGTTATAGTACTTAATTTAGAGCTCTAAATCATCTATATTTTGACACAGAGTCCTTTGAGACCTGCCAAGATGTTAAAAGGATTGAAAACTGAAATAGAGGAAGAAATGAACACAGCTACATTTCCCAGTGTTGGGAGGCTTTTGCCTTCTCTGATACAGAGGTGGTGATTGGGGGTTGTTGGTAGCATTAGGGACTACTGAGAATTTCACAAAACAAAAGAAATAGTTACTGATACAATGCACAAATCTGGTACAAGCTCAGTTTCTGCTTTTTCTGTTCAGCTATTTTTTATATTGTAAAAGAAATTCTTCCTTTAAGGAACTGTTATACACCTTCTGTGGTAGTCTCTGGATTACAGATTTTCTATACTGGGAAATGTTGAGCTGATACTGATCCTTGAGATAAACTATACTGAACCCACAGGTCTGCCCCTTTTTTAAAATCCAATACTGCCTACAAAAAAAACTTCAAAGTCCTTTTCTCTCCAGGGTGTTCCTGGAGGCCCTGGACTCCCAGGAAAGGCAGGAGAAAGAGGGGAAAAGGTGAGTTGGTTCTTTGAGGGGTTTGTTTCTTTTTTTTTTCTTGAGCATTTTAAGTAATAGGGACAGATACTCTCTGAACTGGAAAATTATTTCATAGGTTCATGGATGGTTAAGACACATGGGTTCATGAATTCATCTTGTCTGAGCTCCTCTATTACATGTGCTGTAAAGTTTTCACCCAGTTGCAACTTTATAATTTACCTGATAAACCACTGATGTATGACTGGATATGGTAAAGTCACTGCTACACAATTATGGTCTTCATTACCTGACAAGAGCAGGCATTTGGTATTTTAAGAAACTCCTATTTATGACAGAAAATCCAAAGCTGGAAGAAAAACTGGCTTTTTGTCCCCTTTTATGAGCTTTCTGAAGTCAGGGGCTTGTGTTTGGTCGTGCATTCCTGCGTGCCCAGCATGCTGATCTTTGCCCTGATCTTTGTTTTCTGGATTAGGAATGACTAATCAGAAACATGATTATCTATATCCATGCATTTGGGGCTTAAAAGGGAATGAATCCCAACTCCTTCAATAAAATCTTCTTGCAAGTTACTGAGCTCTGCCTCAGGGTCATGTGAGGACCCAGGACTCTCTCATTCAGCGTTGCAGAAAGAGTGATGCACTTCACTCACAAGAAAGAAGAACAGTATATTTTATTGATGTAAGACGCCAAGTTAATAAAGTTCATTGGTAAATGCCACAGTAGTTTAACAAGATTCAATGCAAGGTACACTTGATTATTTACTGCATTGAGGACAGGGACAGACAAAACTGTCAGGGAGACCCTTCCATTGAGTCATGAGCTTCAGAAAGGATCCCTTTGTGTTCTGAACTCCTTCTCAGAGAGGAATTTAGGTGTCTGCTGCATCCAAAGTTAGTCCCAAACTTGATCAATATTTTGTCTAAAGCATTATATTTGTGCAACCAATCCTTTGTATCACTTAGCTAAGGATTCAGAGTTTCCAGTATATTTATTCCCCTTTTGTTTGCTGAGCATCTGATGTGATAAGGTGGTAATTTGAGGGGTTATCTTGAGAGGCATCCATGGTCAAGAGGAGATCTGGGCATGCAGCCTGCTGCAGGCCCTGGGCTGTGCCCTGTTCTTGGGTAAGATGGTTGGCTCATATTTTCATGCTGGCTACAAATGTTGCTCCCAAATTTGTGAAGGCACTGACCCGCACTGTGTTTAGGAGAGCACATTGCCCAAGCCAGCCCTCACCTGTAGGGTTGTTATCTGCCTCCCCAGAACCCACTGTGAGTCAGGAGCAGCCATCACAACCAGAGGCATCCAGTACTGCTGCTGCTGCTGCTGCTGGGTGTCACTTGGGCAGGGTGATGGGAAGCAAAGGTCAGGTTGGGATCAGGGCACATTCCAACATTTCTCAGTGTCACAGCAGGGATAAGCAGTTTTGATGAGTTCAGGTTGGGGTGTGCTCCATGGAGAGAGCACACCACCACATATAGCTGGTTTCCAAAACATTTTGAAGTCTTTTACTTTCCTTAATGGAAATTACAACTGCCTTGAGATTACTGAAGGAAAAGAATTCCCATTAATGAGGTTTTCCTATGATACCAAAAGAAATCCAGATGAGACAGCTAGGAAAATGTCCATGCCTTTCAGTTCCAGTGAAAGATCTGAGGTGGTAATTTTCTAGTATTTTAATGAGTTCTGGTGGCTTCTCTTCTACAGGGTGATCCTGGAAAAGAAGGAAAAGTGGGTTTACCTGGGCCACCTGGTGAGCCAGGGCGTGCTGGAGAGCCAGGTTTGCCTGGGAAGGGTAGAGATGGAGAAAAGGTGAGTCCTGCTGGCAAGCTTTGTGCTTGACTAGTTCAATGTGAGACAGGCAACCATGACTCTTGCAGGAGAGCATGGATTTACCTGAATCCATGGAAGGCCTGCCTGTGGAATATGCTCCAGATCTCACCTGTGCATAAAAAAAAAAGTCAGAGAGAACTGAAGATTTATTTCTGAAATTTACATTGAAAACAGAGACCTCCACAAGGAGTAGCCATTGTCCTTGTGACTAGTACAAAAATTATTAGCTTGATGGAAGTTCCCTAAAAGCTTTTAATTCTTGCCCAATTAGCAGATTGTTTAAGTTGGTTACACGTTGTCAGTAAAATATTGCCAGGACAGTGTGAGCTCAGGAGGGCAGGGATGGGAGAATTGCTGCCTTGACTATAGCAAAGGCTCTTGTTTGGCTGGATGGTGACTGTTTTCTTGGTTTGCTTTTGTCACTTTAGGGGGAAAGAGGACCACCAGGCTTGCCAGGACCCTTTGGACATAAGGTGAGGATGGACTTCATGTGGACTGCCCATCTTAATCACCTGAACTGGGGAAAAGAACATGGTGCAAACATGGTCTGTTTTCCACTGGAAAATAGAGTTTGCAAAGCTCTGATTCAAAAATGCATTTCTTACCTTCTAGAGGATTCCTTTCTTTATTATTCCAGCATCTCTGTGGATGTAAATACTCAGCTATGAATTAGCTGTGTTCACTTTCCACATTTAAAGTACCTTCCATCACTATAAGAATTCAGCAGAGGTGGAGGTCTCAGTGCACACTTTTTCAGAGAAACTGGGACTGAGACCCTTTAATCCACACAACCAGGGAGACTCTGCATGGCTCAGGGGTGATCTGCTCTCAGGACCACCTGTCAGCCCTCGAAGAGAACTTTTCCCTAGCCCTCATTCCCTTCACCTCTCTTCAAGGAGGACATTAATTATTTTCCAGTAGAACCAGGTAGTCCTGGTTTCCCCTCCTGTATTGAGGCACAGACTGGCTAGTTGAAGAAGTTGATGATACTAACTTCTGCTGAAAGTAATGTTTATTGCCTTTTAAGCCCACAGAAAAGAGAGAAAGTAATAAAACAGCAAAATCTTTGATTTTTGTGCTTGAAGATTTAATCAGACATTTCAGAAATTGTCCTCTTCAAAATGACCACTTTCTGATGTGGACTGGAAGAAGAATCTGGTGTTGAAAAAGATTCTGTAAATGATAAAAGCAGGATTATAGGAGTATGAGACCCAATCCATCTATGTCCCATATTTTTGAAATAACCAAACTGCTATGATTTTTTTTAGTTTTGATGCATTTTGTACAAATGCATTGTAGTCTTTTCTATATATCTTTGACACTTCAGAACACAGACCTACACCCACACAGACATACACTAATAGACTGGGAATTAATATAAAAGTCAGGAAAAAAAACACTAAAAGAAATCTCATTAAGTATTCTATTCAATAGCAACAGAAGATGATAAAAGTCTTAATTGTATGTGGGAAAATACTATTGAAATTTTTGTATTAAAATTATCTTTTTGAATAAAATAACTGATAAGGGACGTGTGGAGTGTTTGAACTAATCAGAATGCATTTTTCCTCAGTGGCATTGCAGTATTATTTCTTTGTTGTAAAAGATTAGCATAAGAAGAAAGCAAGAAAGGGGAAAAATAGGAGATATTTCAGATTTAATTTTGAGTGGGCAGAATCCACAGGTAACAATTTTTCTATCATGCTTCTATATAGCTAGAAAAAATGTCATAATAAATAGCATAAATAAGATTGATTGTTATAAATCTACTGCCAACGTGAGACCAAATCTCCCAACTGCAATGCAATCCATAAAAATCTTATTGATTTCTCCCTATAACTAGAAAACAGATGTTAAATTAAAGCCTTACAGCTGAATTCTTTCTTAGCCCTCTGTCTGCAGTGTACATTGAACAATGTCAAGCTGTTTTCTGTGCTATTCATGTTTATTCACTTTGAAAATCTGTTTTTTAGAAGGGAAGGCTCTCCTTTTCTAGTAAAGTGCTTGAGAGAGAGTGGTTGAAGTGTTGACTTCTGTTTTACCAAAGTAATTTCTTACACTTCAGTGAGTAGGCCTATGTTGGTAAAGGACAGGAGAATATTAAGATGCAGCAAAACTTCCCTAATCCTGTCTTCCTCAGATATATGATCTATGTTCAGCAATTTTTGTGCCTTAGCCTTTTACCACAGAAGCACAGAGAGAGAAAAGTGATTTGTGGTGCTTGGTGCTTCCCCAAGCCCAGGAACGTCCCTGCTACCCCGCTGAAATCCCTGGTTCTGGATGTGGCTCTTGGGGCTTTGGTTTGGGGTGATTGAGGTGCTGCTGGGCTGGTGGTTGGGACAAGCTGATCCTGAAGGTCTCTTCCACCCTTGGTGGTTCTGTGAAATTCTGGAAATTTGATGCAGTGCACTAAAATAAATGAACACAAGCACAAAGATTGTGTTTGCCCTCAGTTCTGTGATGTGATGGGAACACTCTGAGCCTGCAGAGGGAGGCTGGGGTCCCTGTGGGGGAAAAGGACACTTTAATGGCATGATGAGACAGCAACTGTGCCATGTCCCCATGCTGCCACATGCTGTCCCTCTGTGGGCAGGATCGGGACCAGATGTACTCATGTGACATTCTGGTGTACCACCTGCTTGCATCCCAGCACATTTTCTCATCAGTGCACAAAGCTTTTAACTCTTTCCTTTATTTCAGGGTGAGAGGGGAGCTCCTGGCCTCCCTGGACAGCCAGGAGACAGAGGAGTGCCAGGAATTGGCCTGGCTGGACCCCCTGTAAGTAGCAGGTCCTGCTGCAGCATACAATGAGGTGGAAAATCAGGCATTGCCACCTGCATTGCCTGTGCTCTGCTGTGCTGAGAGCCTGTGGGACATTTTGCCTTCTGAAGGTGCAGATTCCAGAAGAGTTCAGAGGCTGCCATTTGTGGCTCACGTGTCACATGTGTGCTATGAGGGCTAAAAGTGCTCTGGGATTGATTGGTGTCACTCTGAATTTTGTCAGGACTGTCACTCCTGAATTTTGTGCATCATCCTGGCACACTGCTGTGGATGTGAGAGGAGATCTGTGCCAAGGGAGCAGTTCTGCTCTCCTGCACAGACACAACCTTGCTGTTGTATGAACCCTGTTGGAAGGGATGAGTGTGGCACACATGCCCACATCAGTGACATAGTGACACTCCAATAGCAAAATACAAAATCAGATTGCTTAAACTGCTGTGTTCCAAGAGGGGCCTCCTGCCCATAATTTCCCCCAAATGTTTGGTAGGTTTGACTTTATCCAGCTCTGCCCTCCTGACTATCAGTTGGTCACATGGTGTATATGGGAGTCTGCTCAGAAAATTTGGATTTTCCTGTTGCTGGGCTTTGATCACTCCAATACTTGTCATCTACAGCTCCTCTAGAAATGAGGGGGATTTGGCAGTGCTCTGGCAGTAGTCCTGCTCAGAGACCTCCAGTTATGCACTGAATTTGCTACTGAAATATGTTTAGGAGGAAGCAAATGCTATTTCTGGCTGTAATTGCAAGAGGACATCTGAGCCCTTGCATTCTTTTGCAATACCTCATGCATGCCATGATCCTGGACCAATCATCAATGTTTGGTTATTAGTGCTCTGTTTATCTAGATATAAATGTCCCAATTAGTATAGGAACTTGCCTTGAAAGGATAAGTCATATTGCTGAGTAATGAGTTGAAAAATCTGGTTTTCTGAGGTGTATGTCCACTTAATATTTGCTTTTACTATGCTGAATTCTGAGTTAGAACAGACAGGGTTGGTCCTGTTTCACACTGAGATTGTACCATGGGTTTTATGGTCCTCACAGAGTTACCAATCACTGCAGGTTTCCTGGATGTCCTTTGATTTATCTAAGGATCTATAGATTTATCTATGATTTATCTAAGGAGCAGTGGTGTTCTTGCACTTCTCAATGTTCAGCCATTAATTAAATTAAAATTAAAGTAACAAATGAGCATCTGGCTTATTTGAACATCACTAGCTAGTGGATAGTCTTTGATTACAGATTTTTAGATTCAGTCCAGGGCTAGATGAGTTCATGTCTGCATCCTGATGTACACAGGATGACAAAGTTGTTCTTCATTGGGGGTTTAGCATCCTCATCTCCCTAAACACAAATGACTAAGGACTTGACTCCAAATGCAGACATCTCTTGTCTCACACCAGAAGATTGGTTTTTTCAGTGTCTTCATTATTTGCCCACTGTCAGGATGTGTAGCCACCTACACACCACACTGTTCTCAAATGATATGTTTTATTTATTTAATTTGCTTTACTAAATGCTTCTTTAAAAAAAGAAGAAAAAAACCCAACAAAACAACAACAAAACCACTTTTATGATGGGTTTTTTTCCACTATAGATTCATCATAACCTCAGCTCCAGTGCAAAGACTGGAATTGGAAAAAAAAAACCTCTGTATAACCTTGAATCTAGCAGACAGTACAAAGACTGAATCCCACAGTAAAAAAAAAAAAAAAAACAGAATAAAATCAGTGGAGTTGCTTCAGTGCATATTACATGCTGAATTAAAGACATCAGCCTCTACTCTTTTCAGCAATGTGACAAAATTGTGTTTATAATACTTCAGCTTCAGAGCTGAGAGCCAACAATTCTTTTTAATTGGAATCCTCACCCTGTTTCCTCCTCTGCCCTTAACCTCTCTCAGCTTTGCTCCTTGCACAAAAAGTATATATAGATGAGGATTTTTTTTTTATCTTATCTGCTGAAGTATTGAGTTACAATTTACATAACACTGAGCCATAAACTTGAGCATTAGCAGAGTGTGTGTTTCCAACAGAGTAGGGGACAGCTTGGACAGCTGGGGGGAATTCACATGCGTATGCTGAAGCTGCCTAATGCATGGATGCACAGTATAAGTAGAAAGATTTCAATTTTGCCCTGTCTTGCCTTGTGGGCATTAATTAAATTATGCATTAAGCCATTTCTTTAACATGCACTAAGGTGTCTTCTTTCGTGGAGACACTGTGAGGATTATGAGTTTCTGTGCCTGAAACAGAAAGCAGAAGGAGAGAGGAGTTATAGTGGTAGCCAATTTATTCAAGCCTTGTTTTGGGTGTGTTTGGAATACCAGATTGAGTCACCCATGATGGATATGGCACTGCAGCACTTCTGTGGTGTTCCTGTAGAAGTGGGTACCTGCCCAGGGCTCCCTCTACTCAGCTGCACATTTTAAGTTGCATCCCCAAACAAACAGCATGCACATGCCCACTGCCATCCCCCAACTTTGACCTAAATTAAAGAGCACAGAAGTCCTGTGGGATGTTTTTCCTTGTCTAAGAGGTGGCTGAATGTGGTGATCTTCAGAGCCTGGGGCAGTTGTCCTGTCCCAGCCCCAGGGATGTGTGGATGCTGTGGTTCTGTGTCTCCAGACCCAGCCAGGAGCATGGATTGTCCATGGGCACAGTGCACACACATCCACACTCAGTCCAGAGCAGAGAATAATGCCTTAATGCAGCACCCACCCTGCTAAATGAGAATTTAAAGTGTTTTGATTGCTGTGTCTTTTCTGTTTGTAGGGCCCTGCAGGACCCCCAGGAGACAAAGGGTCACTGGTACAGTATGTCTTTCTAGCTATACCCAAATTCTTTGGGGAGAGGGCAACCACACTAATTATCTTTTTTGCCAGTCATTTCATGAGGGCAGATGTAATTGCTTTGGTTTTGCTCAAGGAATGGTCATAGGGTGGCTGATCCATCAGAACTTCTGTGTATTACCAGGTACTTGTCTGCTATATTGAGTTGTGAGAAAGAGTTGATCAAAAGCCTTGGCCTGGTGGAGATGTTTCCTTATGTGTCAGTAGTCATAAAAGAGAAATAATGAGTGACTTGCTTCACCCTTCTTTCAAAAAATTATTTTAAGGCACATAATTCAAGGCATATTTCTTATAGCCAAGGCCTCAAAGGTTTAAAAGAAACCATTTTAGAACATTTTTCTTACTTAAATCTTACAGATTTCGGTATTCACCAAACACACTTTAGTCCCTTTTTTCAAGGATGCAATCCATTCAAGGATGCAATCCAGTCAAGGTGTGGCACAAACAACTGTGTACCATGGTCTCAGTAGACACTGGCCTGAATTTCCAGCACAACAGCCAGTCCTAGCAGAGTGGTAGCCTGGAACTGAGAAGATGTGTGCTATTTTCAGAGTCCCCTGTGGCAGGAGGGAAATAATGAATCTAACTCCATGTTCTTAGAAGGCTAATTTATTATTTTATGTACTTATATTATATTAAAGAATGCTATGCTAAAACTATACTAAAGAATAGAGAAAGGATAGATACAGAAGGCTTAACAAGATACTAATGAAAAACTCATGATCTCTTCAGAGTCCTGCCACAGCCGGACAGTGATTGGTCATTAAGTAAAAACAGTTCACATGAAACCAATCAAACAACCAGCTGTTTGTTGGATAAACAATCTCCAAACCACATTCCAAAGCAGCAAAACACAGAAGAAGCAAAATGACATAATTATTGTTTTTCCTTTTTCTCTGAGGCTTCTCAGCTTCCCAGGGGAAGAATCCTGGGCAAGGGGATTTTTCAGAAAATATGACAGTGACAGAGGTGGACCTTCTTTTCTCCTCTACTGTCCTGTGCTCAGGCATATTTTCTCTCTGTTCAAAAATCCACCTCCTGTAAAGAGTCATTATTACCTCTCCAATCAATGTATGGGAAGCTTGACTTTAGTGATGCACATGAAGTCCCTTGAGGCACAGAAATTATTGATATCAGGATAGTGCAGTGTGAACTGTAATTATATTTTTTCTTAAACTCTCTCATAGTTGAGTAGGTGCTGGTTAATTTTTTCCACCAATTACTATTAGGTTAAGGATTTCTTCTCTTCAGCTAAGAAGCACCTTATAAATACTGCTCACATTACTGGGTTTGTCTGTTCTCTCCCTCTCAGGGTCCCCGTGGTGTGCCTGGGATCCCTGGACCACAGGGGCCTCCTGGCCAGGATGTAAGTAAAATTAAAGTGTAAGTGCTCAAGAAGCTGGTCAGTGCTTGCATCTAATTTCCTTAAAAATTTGTGCTGATAATCAACTGCAGTCTCTGAGTGTTACTAGGATTGTCCAAGGGACATGATTTGCAGAAGTGGAGCTCTTACAACTCAGGATGTCAAAGAGGAAAATAGTTGGAATGAGGAGGATTGCTTCAAGGAAAGTGGGGTTCATCACTGAACCACTTTAAAATGACACTGGAGAAGGGACTTGGCAGCATACACTGGGGAAAGATCCCACACTGGAAAAGGATGGTGGTTAGGCTGTCTAGGAACTTCTTAGAATCCACTGAGATAAGTACCCTTTCTGTTAAAACAGGGCCACAGCTGTTAAGTTCTCTGTGAGTTCATTTTGCTGCTGCTATTGTGCATTTCTGAGGACATTTTAACCTCTTGGTGCATTGTGCTCCCACTGTCTCAGTGGTGAGTCATGGAACTGAGGAGCAGAGAGGAACGTGGCAGACTCCCAGCTGGAAAGCTGGCCCCTCTCTCTGCCTGCTTCCACTTCAGTGCTGCATCAGAAGGAGGAGAATTTTTTTTTCCTCTATGATGTGGAAACCAGTGCTCTGAAGGAGCCTCTGAAGATTTGGAAGGGGTTGATCTTTGGGTTTAAGGGAACACTGTGGAGAGGGGGAAGTGACCTCCTGGAACTCTCCTTCTCAGTGCTGCTCCGTGATGTTGTCGTGTCTGAAATGAGTACCAGCTCTCACCAGCTCCACAGCAAGCACTTTCCAGCCCTGGTGTGGCTTTACTGACATCCATCAGGTGGCCTAAAGGAGGTCATTTACTGTGGAAAGAAGGTCTTGTTTTCTTCCCACCTACTTATTCCTAGAGGGGTTGTGGGTCCCTCATCCCTGGAAGTGTTCCAGGCCAGGCTGGATGGGGCTCTGAGCAGCCTGGAGTAGTGGAAGGTGTCCCTGCCTATGGCACAAGTTTGGAACTGGATGAGCTTTGTGGCCCTTTCCAACCCAAACCAAAGATTCTCTGACTCTGTACTTTGTCACAAGACAAAGGATTGAGCCAGGGTTTTCTTCCAGAGCCCATGATAGCTGAAATGGGCCCTTGTGTCCCTGGGCAGCCAGAGATTTGGGATTGTGTCCTGCTGCCTGTCCCTAGATCTCATCCCCTTGCCTCGGATGTTTGAAATTTTAAATGAAGATGTTTTGAACAGGAGATAGGATAGATGGGTTTGTTAGAGCTGAACTGTGTAAGAGGAGTACCTGAGGCAGCTTTTTGGAGTCTCTTTCTGGCTCTGCTCAGATCAGCATTGGCTGGTCAACTCCTTGAGATGCAGCACTGAGGTCTTCACATTTTTCTTTTCCCTGCAGAAAATTAATCCAAACACAGACATTCCTCAGGCTACTTATAAAACATATTCTCTATTACACTCACTGCTTTAATTGCAATCAATATGTCTTTTAGAACCTTTCTGTATTGTCTGATCACTTGTTATACCATTCTGTCTGTGTTTCAGGAGGTATAATTGGAGGTACAGGGCACATTCCAACATTTCTTGGTGTGTCAGCAGGGATAACCTATTTTGACAAGATCATGCATTTGCAGTTCCCTGATCTCTATCTTTATTTAACTAGCATAAGGAACTTTTTGTTCTGCTTCTGCACTCTTGTGTGCCAATGCAGTGTTCCTGTATCCTCTGAAACATGTCCATTTTTGTACTCTGCTGTGTTCAAACAGGATATCATTGGATAGGAAAGCTCCAATTTGAATTGCTAATATGAATTTGCCATGCAACTCCCAAGCCTTGCAGTGTCAATTGCCTGAATGACTTGCCTCAGTGTCTTGTACTTTGCTGTGGCCTTTGCAAATGTATTCCATGTTTTTTTTTGAGACTGGAAAATTCTTTTAAATCACATTTACATACATCGAGTTACTCTCTGAATTATTTTTCCAGTTGCAAACTCATCAGATGCATGTGTAAATGCCTGCTATCAGTTGCATTCTCTGATATAGTAAATCAGATTTACAACTGCATTTAGGGAGATGAAAGAGTCAATGCTGTTTTTGCAATAGCTTTGGCCAGAATTCTCTCCCACTGGTGAATAAATAGAGGTTTTTTTACATAACTACCTTCTAGATTCTTTCTGGTCCCCTAAAAGCATGAGTCATATTTTTTGGGATAGCCCAAAGTCACCTTTTGAAACATCTGTTGGCTACTCAATCTAATATCAAGAGTTCTCAGGACAGTGTCTTTTTTATTAAAATTTAGGTTTTGAAGATACTTGCCTAGGTTAACAGTACAATTGTGCTGCTTTGGCCTTGTTCTGTTCCTCTTAGAAAAAGCCTTGCTATTTTTTTGCCCTCTAGAGTTCATTGTGTCTGTAAATCCCTACAAATTATCTTTTTCTGCAACAAAGCTGGGACATGTTGTCTTCTTCCATATATATAATATTCTTGTCTTTAAATTTGCATTTTTTTTTCTGATTAACCAAAGCTCCAATTCTTAAAGCCTGAAAAGTATGCTTTTTTAGGTTCTTTTTCCCTAATAATATGACTACTTTTTTCCATAACAGAACTACTACACATTGTGCCTACTTTAAGGACCTCAGTCACTTAAAAAAATCACTTTCTCTTGCTTTTTGAAAAAAAAATCCAAATCACATTTTAATCTGTCAGTATTCCTGTATCAAGCATTAAAATAGTGTAGCCTGAAGTACCTTCTGTTGGAGAAGTTGGCCAATCTCCTAGTCTGAGAATTAAAAAAGGATGTCTACATATTCAGTGATGTTATATGCAGTGCTGTCTCCTCCAGCTGCTGCAGAGCAGGTCCCTCCTGCCTGGTTAAATTTGATGTATGGAGGAAATTCTTAACTGTGCATGTAGTGAAGCACTGGAGCAGAATGCCCAGAGAAGCTGTGGCTGTCCCATCCCTGGAAGTGCTCAAGGCCATGTTGGATGGGGCTTGGGGCAACCTGGTCCAGTGGAAAGTGTCCTGCCCATGGCAGGGGCTTGGAATGAGATGGTATTTCAGGTCCTTTCAACCCAAGCCATGCCATGATTCTATGAAATGGTTTATTAGAAGATGTAAAGTGACAGGACAAGCCATGGTGGGCAGGTGCAGGGCTCAGCCAAACAAATGCTCAGCCAGCTCTGGTTTACCAGCCCCTTTTATACCCTTTTGTGTCTACCCTCGGTTTGTTTGTTCCTCTCTCTCCCCCTGCACAGCCCCTCATGCATCTCCTCAGCTCTATCAGTCCCTCATCCCTCCCAGTTCATGGTCCCCCACTTTACAATCTGATCACTTGCAAGGTCCAGATAGCTCTCCCAGCAAGTGCAGTCTGTGGTTTTTGATGGCCCATCAGTTACTGCCAGTGACAAGATCTGCTTCTCCTTAGGTCTGCGTGTCTTGGAAAATTTAGTTTCTGATTTCCTCCTTTTCCCTTAATTTCCCAGCTGACAAGGTCCTGGATGAGGTAACCTTGCTGCAGTAAGCCTCCTCATATTTCCACATGCCTTGATCAATTAGTGTGAGCATCCAGGTTTGCTTCCAATCACTGCCATCTTTTTTTGGTCAGGTTTGTGTCCTTGACATTCTAATTTATGACTTTCTCCTTCTCTTCCTTTGTTGAATTCAAAAGGTTCTTGGCCAGATACCCCTAAAGGAGCAGACACTCTCTGGCCAGCCACTCTTACACCTCATGGTGTGGGAATCTGTTCTCCCCTGCCTGTCTGCTGGGAGATAAAATGTTTCTGTTCAACACATCTATTTAGTGTCCTTAGATTAGGAAACAATCTGAATGAGATATTTTCTTATCCTCCTATTAACAGTGGGGGCACCTGTTTAATAGGATCTTTCTGTATTTTGATTATGATAATTTGAATTAACATAAACACTGAATTAATCACTTTTTAATTAGGTTAATTATTTATGGTAACTAAGTTCCAGCATTACCGAGAAGTTCATCTTCCCCCTGCGTTTGCTTTCATAATTGCAAAACCTTTGTGGATGCATAAATTACTGCCAATGGATTTGAAAAGCAGAGTTTGCTGTTCTGAGGTTGATTTTCCTGTCCTGTTAGAAGGACAGTTCCAAGGAGCTTTTTTGTTTGTTTTAGGGTATTTACACCCCAGACCAGGGTATATTTATTAACCCACCTATTGTCTGTTTATTGCTGTGACATATAACTGATTTAAGATATTGCATTTCAAGTTTAATTTTCAGTCTTAATAGAACTATCCCACTATATGCCTGTGTGACTGACACACTTCCCCTATACACTTATGTTTCCTTACAGACTTTCTTTAAGTATTTTCACATGCACCACTGACCTGAGCATCATTTTCCCCATCATAGGATTTTGCCTATTAACTGCACAGGTATTTAATTCAGAATCACAGAGTATTCTGAATTGGAAGGGACCCACAAGGCTCATCGAGTCCAAGTCTGGAGTGAATGGGCCATGGGGGGATCAAACCCACATCCTTGGCATAATTAGCACCATTTGCCAACCAACTAAGCTAAATATTGTTTTTTAGCATTATCAGCAACACAGTTTCCATCAGTTCCCATTTAAATACCATTCCTCTGTGTCAGATTTTGCAGACTGATATTCTGGATACTGTGCATCACACCTCCTCATGGCTGACATCTTTTCCCTATACTGGTGTGCTCTACCACTCATTGGATGTTCTGCTTTGTGCCAGCCACTCTTGGCTGCAATCTCCTGAAAGTGTTCAAACTTTTTGAGTTTTCCAGCACTGGTTGCTATTTGGGTCTGTGCATTTTCCCACATCGTGTTAGCAGCGTTTATTTTCTGTGCCATGCAGTTTTTGGGTCAGACTTATTTCCTTTTCCCTGAATTTTCTGGCTTTCTTTTTTCCAGTTCCCTCCCCTGTTAGCTTGTCAGATGCAGTTTTAACTTCCATGTCTTCATTCTGCTCTGAGCAATATGAAGCTGCATCAGGGGAAGTTTAGGCTGGATATTAGGAAAAGGTTCTTCATCCAGATAGTGGCCAGACACTGGAACAGGATCCCCAGGCAAGTGGTCACAGCACCAAGACTGACAGAGTTCAAGGAGCATTTGGGCAATGCTCTCAGGCACCTGATGTGATTCTTGGGATTGTCCTGTGCAAGACCAAGAGCTGGACTTGATTTTTTGTGGGTTCCTTACAACCCAGGATATTTTGTAATTCTGTGTTTGCAGCTTGTCTGGTTTTGTCAGGCTTTTCTAACTCCAGGTCTCTACAGACCAGCAATACTTCCTCTGCTTTTGACTCTGCTTCCATTGGCCTGTTCTCTGATAATGCACCATGCTGAAGTGCCATCAGCTACATCTGGTTTGTTCAGTTTGGCTCACAAAAGCATTCTTCAATGGACATTCTCTGTTTGCAATCTTGTACCTTTAGATTTTTCTGGGAAGTTTTTTTTTCAGGTTTATCAGCCATGGCACAGAGCTTAACCTCTTTTCCTGAACTGGGGATTCAGTTTTTTTTTCAGGTTTATCAGCCATGGCACAGAGCTTAATCTCTCTTCCTGTCTCATTTCCACCCTTTTGGGGACAGCACCAGCTCCACATCATACAGCGTGCAAGAAAATGGGTTCATCCCTTTTTGTCTCAAGGCACTCTAATGACATGTGGGCATGATAGCTGTGCTTAATCCTTTCTGAGGATTTCCATTTTATTCGCTCTCTTCTTGTGTGTCTTTTCACATAACTAAGAAGTCTTTTCCTATATTCTTTTTTTAAAAGATCTTTAAATACTCAGATTACACCACTACTGCCATGTTCATATTTCAGATCCCAAAGCAGAAGGCTGTCACTGAGCCCTATGGCATATATTTATAGCTGTGCTACTAGTCAGCATGAAAGACATTTCTGAACTGTCTTTTCTGTCTTGCTTTCTGATCCAGGATTATTCTCATGGCTCAAGTTTTTGCTTTGCATCACACTTTTTAGAGCAAGTTCTGTGTGAGTCTTCCTGAACAAAGTAGGTCTGGGAATATAAGATCTGTGTAATTGTTATTTAGCCATCCTTCTTCCCGTTTGCAGAGGTGGCTGAGAACACAGTGTAGAAGATGCCAAAAGCATGACCTGACAGCATCTGTGAAAGGGAAGGGACTTTGGGAACAATACACAGTTCTCTAGATTCACCTTGAAATTATGTGGAAGAAGGAAAGCTATAAATGACTAAAATGATCACTTATATTTACTCAATTCCCCAGAAGGACTTCTGGGGAGAAATGTGAGCTAAACATCTTCTTCAGACATTATCTTCTCTTTGTTCTCACCTGCAGAAGGTTTAGTTCCTCAGGAAACAAGAGTTCATCCATGAACTTCAGTACTACTTCAGCTCCACTTTAGGTCCATATCAGTGTGTGTTTAATTTTTGTCTCTGAGAATCTCAAGGTAATTGAAGGGTTGTTGCTCATCCAGAAGCATTTAATGTGGACATAGAAAATGATGATTGATATATTTTTCCATTTTTTCTCTCCTCTAGCAAGACATACAGGATTTAAGTACTAAGTGAGACTCAAGGATGAAATTCAAGTTTGCCCTGTAGCTACAATTGTGGTGTATCATGACACACAGTGATCTTCGGCCATTGATCCCCATGTCCCCATCTGGTTGTCAATGTAAATAATGCAAGGAACCGATTGGCAAAACTGAATAACCTGAGACAAGGTGGCAGAAAGAACATCCAGTGCCCTTCCTGGCTAAGCATTTGACCAAATTTTAAAGGAACTTTCCATATGGAAAGACTAGATAGTCTCAAAGAGAAAATCCTGCTGAGCCTGGACTGATTGAAAGCCACTACTTGTACTTTGATCAGCATCCAGATGTTGATGCAGCCCATAAAGCTAATCGAGTCCTGGGCTGTATCAAAACCAGTGTGGCCAAGAGGTGAAGGGAGGGGATTGTGCCTCTCTACTCCACTCTGGTGAGACCCCACCTGCAGTGCTGTGTCCAGCTCTGGGGTCCCACAGCACAGGAAGGATGTGGAACTGTTAGAGAGAGTCCAGAGGAGGCCACCAAGGCAACTCTCTTACAAGGAAAGGTGGAGAGAATTGGGAGTGGGAGAGAATTGGGTTGAGAGAATTTTTTCACTGGAAAAGTGAAGGCTTCAGGATGACCTATTTGTGGTCTTCAAGTACCTGAAGGGAGCCTTGAAAAAAGATGGAGAGGGACTTTGGACCAAGTGTGAGAACTATAGGTAACCAAGACAGCCAAAATCCAGAGCTGAAGTGTAAAGAATAGATTTATTCCATTACCACTCTGGCAGAATGGAGACATATGCATTGCTAAGTTTATTCCATCTTAGCAGGGGCAAAAATTGCTCAGGGTAGCCTCAAAGCTCCTTATCTCTCCTTCTCCCAGCAGGGAGGCCCCAGCCTGTGAGGAATGCCTTTTAAGTTTTTTACAGCATTCTGTTGTCTTCTATAAAACTTCCATTTTTCAGGACAGACAGAAAACAACCCAAAGAAAACACAACATGTGAAATTTTCTACACTGCATATTCTTAGCATCCTCCAGCTGCAAGGTTATCTTTAGTGAAAACAACTCTGTTTTTCCCTTCTCATTAGATCTTCCACTTTCAACCTTTTTCTCGCCACACAAGGGGAGTGGCAGTAAAAGGGGTAATGGCTTCAAACTGGAAGAAAGTAGGTTCAAAATAGATATATGGAAGAAGTTCTTTACTGTGAGGTTGGTGAAACACTGGCACACAGGTTGCCCAGAGAAGCCTTGGATGCTCCATCCCTGGAAGTGTTCAAGGTCAAGGTGGATGGGGCTCAGAGCAACCTGGTCTAGTAGAAGGTGTCCCTGCCCATGGCAGGGGCGTGAATTTAGATGGTCTTGAAGGTCCCTGCCAACCCAAACCTTTCTATGACTCTATGAACATCCCAGGTGGCAAATCTGGAACCATCCCAGAGAAAACCCCATGTGGGACTTCTGCAGAATCAACAAAGCTGAACACAAATAAGATCTTTTTAGGTGGTCTGTAGAAACTGTTCCTTTAGAAACAAAAATGATCAGGTAGGACAGCTTTTGTATTTGGTAAATTTTGTATACTCTTTAAGGTGCTCAGTATGAATAGAACATGCACTTGCTTGAGTGATGACACAGGGTGATGGACCAGGTGGATACAGGAATTCAGCAGAAAATGGTTTGGGGAAATGTCACCGAGTATCCTTAAAACTGCAAGGATCCTCACAGTGCAGATTATTGTCACCATCTGAGCCGTGGCCAACTGTCTTGTTCAAAGTATTTGGTTTCCCAAGTGAGCATTACTTTATGCAAAGATTTTACAAAAAATTTTAGACATGGTTTTTGTTTTGTTTTTAGCAAACTTAATTCCTTGTAAATGACATGTTAGAGATGGATGCTGAGGGGCGAAGGTTGTCCCTTTTCCTAATCCTGCCTTTCTGGACATAAAATTCTGAGAATGCTGGTAACTTCTATGCCTTCATCTCAAGAAAACTGATACCACTACACCCCAACAAACAAAAAACCAACCAACCAACCAACCAACCAACCAACCAAACAGACAAATTGATTTTGCTTGTTGACAGGTGCCTTCAGAGATTTAAAGTTTCATCCTTCACACCAGTAAAGTTCATGGTGTTTCCTATCACCAGAAGACAAGCTAAAGCAATTCCAGTCTCTGTGTGATTCAAATGAATTTAGCAAGGGTTTGAGAGGATGTTCAAGTTGCAGATATTTGGAGGAGTTTGCTGTCTGTCTCATGCAAGGAGTAGTGCTGCTCAGCAGAAGAAAGTAAGATGTGTGCTAGTCCAGATCAGTCAGCAGAGTGCAAGAGCAACCAGGGGGTTATTGTATAATAATTTCACATTTTTTTTTCTTTTTCTTGATCTGTAGGGTGTACCTGGAAATCCAGGGGAAAGAGGACCTCCTGGAAAACCTGTAAGTAACTTCACTTCTGTATTACATCTTCCTTTTAACTCAGTTTCCACCTGTACACCTGACCTCAGAAGTGCACTTGTGTGCTTTTCTACTGTTGTTTTTCCCAGTAGAACAGTAGAAAAAAGACTAAAACCCACTAAAGGTTTAGTGAAGGCTTTGGAATGCTATGAGAACAACTGGATATTCTGCATGTAAATAAAAGCTAAAATTTTAAAAGCACTTCCTTAGCACCACTGTACAGTACCAGCAAGAACTCATCTCAGGTTCCAATGAAAAGCATTGGTTGGGTAGGGTGGGAAGTACAAGTTTGGCCCAGTGAATCCTAGACAGGATAAGGAAAATCACTGAAAATCCAAGAACATGTTCAGGAAAAATTCTTATGTCTTGATACCTCTTAAAATTGCCTGAAGTAATGAATTTCTCATTCCACAGGGTTCCCCACCCCTGCTTACTCCAGAGGACATAAATCTCCTGGTAAAGGTAATCAGCCTTTAATGAGGGTGGGAGTTTATGTCTCTGTTTGATTCAGACCTAACACTCTGTGATGGGAAAGTGTCTGAACTGCAAGTGCAAAAGGTGTCTTTAAACACTCTTTCAAAGCTCAAGACTTATAAGTCTCCTGCTTGCACTGGCATTGGGACACGAGCTCACAGAAGAGATGAAAATCCCTTCCCCAGCAGTGAAATGACCTAAAAAGTTCTCTAAAACATCTCCAAGACTTTCTCAGCTCTTTCTGAAGCATGCATTCCAAGGAGAGATAAGCATTATCAATTTACATTATCTAAACCAGAAAATGGAAACCATTTTAATAAAATGCTGGATTTTTTCATACACCTTCAACAGTGACTGGAGTAGTTTTGTGTAGTTGTGGGTGCAAATTTAGTTTGCATTGTGAATCTAAAAGGATGCAGGTAATTAACCCCAGAAGTATTTGTGATTCAAAAGTGATAATCTGTCTGCCTTTACTCTCCATGTAGAGAATTTTGTGATAAATTAGTCAGTCTTTGATAGGTGCTGACTGAAAAATCTCTATAGATTTACATGGGTTGAGTTGTGAGTTTTTTAAGCTGTCTTAAACCTGGCAAGAAATCTTTTCTTATTGATTGAAATAAACTAAAAAATTACCTTCTCTTACCAACAACATTAACCAAAGGGCCCTTTTAAGATTGCTGCTGTGAAATTACTCTTCTTTGAAGAGCTGTCTTTGTTTTGTGGACCCCAGTATTGTTCTGGAGGTTTCACTGTAAAGTGTTGCTTGGGACTTCTGATCTGGACAAGAGCAAGAGACTCAGTCTTGGGTAAAGGATGTCACTTTGATGTTCCTTCCTTTGCTTCTATTATGGTTAAACACATTTGTGCATTTTTTCTGCTTGGTATTTTTTCACTCCATGCTTGGTACAGAAAGCAGCACCTTGAAATCTCAGATGAAATTGGGGCTCTGCTGTTATGGGTGTTTCTCAAGCACTTACATTGTAAGTAGATAAATGTGGATGTAGGCACTGAGACTCAGAAGGAAAATTTACCCCACAGTTTTGCAACAGATTATTGACAGAGCTGGGTATTGTAGCAGGGGCTCCTGACTCTCCACCTGATGATGTGTTTTGTATTATGCTCTTACGGGCAGGATTCCCCCCTTTACAGAAGGGAGTCTGCTTTTGAAATGGAAATTTCATAGATGGATTCAATCTCCTGAGGATAGCTGGAATGTAAAGACTGCTGAGACCATGCTTCAAAGATGTTTGGAAGGAGGGAGGTAGTGATTCTCCCTGATAAAATTTGGCCAGGACACTGTGACATTCACTTGGTCTTCACAAACTTCCTTGGATGAGTTGTCCTTAGCCAAGGTGGCTGCTGAATAATTTCTCCTGCAGAACCCTTTCTGACATTGTGTTGCACCTGATTTTTCCCTAGAAACCTGCCCTCTAAGCAGTAACACAGATCTTTCAGCCTGGAGCAGACAAAGACTTCTAGTGGTCTTGTAGATTCAAATCAATGTTTTTCTTGATAGTCTTTCTAGTCTCCCTGACCTCCCCATCAGGAAGAGCTTTTCTTTGGTTTCCTGATCCTGAGTGACCAATCAGGTCCTAGAACTGATAGGAAACTTCCCATGGGAGCAGGTGTGAGCTCAGCTGCTGACCCTCACTCTGCTTCACACTGCCCTCATTGGTTCTTTAAGCCAAATTCACCCCAATCCTAAGGTAAAACAGAAAAGGTTTAAGAATTACACCAGCACCACAGTGCTGCATTCATAGTGGGTGTCCACAGGGTCTGCTAAGTGCCTGCAGCCTATTGCTGATGTGTTTTCCCATGTTCTCTCCCAGGATGTGTGCAGTGAGTGCCCTCCTGGCCCACCAGGACTGCCAGGCATCCCAGGTTTCAAAGGGGATAGAGGTCTGCGAGGACCACCAGGGAGAGATGGCCAGGATGGGAAACCGGTAAGAGAGCTGAGGGAGTCACCATGCCTGCATCTGCTGGGACCTTGTTTTTCTGTTACTATGGTCGATGGTTTCTCTGTAAGATGATTAATTTTTTTTTCATCAACAACCTGGTGAATCCTTTTTAGAGGCCTGTGGATTCAATGAACTAAACTAGTGTTTACCTCTACCTCTTGTGCATTGCAGGGGATTGCTGGTCCCAGAGGTCCTCCAGGCCCACCTGGGCTCGATGGCCCAAAGGTTGGTTGGTTTTCTTCCCTTGTCTGATGAAAGCTTATTTGTGACTAATTAGTCCCACTAACTATTTTGGGAGCAGGTTACCCAAAGAAGTTGTGAATGCCCCATCTCTGGAAGTGTTAAAGGCTAAGTTGGATGGAGTTTTGAACAGCTGGGTTTAGTGAAAGGTGTCCCTGCCCATGGCATGAGGGATTGTTTCACTTTAGCAGTGTCTTCTGCCATCCCTTTATTCACACACAGACAGGCAGACACATCTAAAGGTCCTGATTCTTGGTGTTGAATTTCATTACATTGATGGATAGACTTGAGAGTAAGTTTCAACTCAAATTAGGTGAGAAAGAAATTAAAGCCTCAGCAGTAGCCACCATGCCTGTACCTCTCCTTTTTGAATCTGATGTCCTGGAATCACTTAAATTAAGGCTGCAATGGGCTGCTAGGCTCCAAACACACCATCTGCCCTGGTGGTCTTAACCAACAACTCCAAGTATTTCCTGAAATATACAGGAAAAACTTCTTTTAGCTATATGGTGCTGCTTCATGGTCTAGGACATAGGTGACCATAAAACTTCCATTGTTTGAAGTATTTCAATAATGTCACATCTCAAGCATTTCTCATAAAGAGGGCTGCCTCCAGTCTGCTCACAATGCCAGTGCCTGGCCACAGTTAAAACCTTTACAACTGCCTAATGTGAAATAAATCAAAACAAATCAATGAGGGAGAGGTAAGGTGATTTAATGATCGGCCACAGTTTCCTCCAGGCATCCTTTCACTACTGACTTACTGTCTAAAATAGCTCCTGCTATTTTAACATCTTTGTATTTGCACTTGTTAGAGTGCAGGGCAAGCTAATAGAGTTTCATGAAATAATTTCATATCTTGCAATTAAAAGTGTGGTGGGGAGAGCAGCACAATCTCGAAAGTAAACACAGAGTTGATCAAAATGAAAGTATGTTCCAGGATAAAATTTACAAGAGAATTAGTAACCCATAAAGCCAATAACTGGCAGAAATGCCAAGCAATCTGAGACATACCCCGTCTGCTGCTTTCCTATATTTCTTAAGGAAGCAGAGATTTAGGCAGAAAAATGGATTGACAGGTGAAATAACAGGATAAATTTCAAACTATACATGTGCATAAAGTAAAATCAAGTAACTGATAAGTAGTCTAACTTGAATTCAATAAAAAAAGTTATTAAAAAAAATAAAAAGTATTTGAAGACCTCTGAGAAGGAGCAATCACAAGGTCAGTCTTTGTGACTCTTTTCTGCATGTCTTAGGAGGATCCTTGCAGTGGAAGACCCAAATTGCTCTGCACTTTTGACTCTGTGGTATATTGTCCTTACCAAGCTATTAGGTCCTGCTCTGAAAGAAGAGCAGTAGAACTGCAGATCTTTGCTCATGAACAGCTTCATTCCTTCTGGCCATATGAATTTGAGCTCTTTGATTAATAAATTGCAACCCTCTTTCTCCCCTTTGTCTCCTAGCTCTCATGTAGCAAACCAGTGTATTATTTCCATGGCCAGCAATTCATTATTGCTGTCTGCATTGTTCACACCTTGCTCACCTTTACCTCAGTAATTTTCAGTGTCTTGTCTCATGTACCAAGCACTGGTAATGCACACATGCACATTTGATCTTTCTGTCTCTGCCTGTGTCTCTAGAACGGAAAGAGAAGGAGGGGAGCACTTTCTGAGCATGCATTTTCTGGCTGCATCTTAGAAATGCTGGTTTTATTGTCCCTGAAGGGTGTGGGCACCTTTGTTGGGCCAGATGATGCTTTATCAAGATGTGATTTAGTGAAGTGCCTAATAACCTGCCTGGTCTTTAAGGATGTGTAATTCCTCTTTATGTTATGATAATAAAACATTAAAAACCAGCTATGCTGGCTCTGCTCAGAGGCCATTTTCCACATATATTCCTGGCTCCAGCAGTGGTAGTGAAAGTCTGGCGAAGAATTTAAGAGGAGGGCAAGGAGGGCTCAGTCCTGATTCTTGAGTTTTATTCTTGAATGTCCAAGTGCTTTATGAGAGAGGTCAAAAAGCTGTCACAACACTGAATCTCATTGACTTTCATTGGCTCTTTTTTTTATTACCAGGGTGCTAAAGGAGACCGTGGCATGACTGGGGAAGTAGGAGAAAAAGGTGAACAGGTAAAAACAGAGTGTGCTTTCCAGCAGTGCTGTCACTGTGATTGGTCCTTCCTCAGTAACTCCTGTGATGCCTGTACAAGAGCATCCTTCTCAGAGGCGCAGGAGGAAGACGGGAGCTCTTCATCACTGACAAACCACAAATGGGCTCTGTCAAAGAGTGAACCATAGCTCTACAGATTCCATCCTCATCTCCAATAAAAACCTCCCAGTACCATCTGTTTCCTCACCTCTGGACTGAATGCATTACATTCTCTACATTACCTAACCCTTACTCATTTCCTTGGATAATCCCTAGATGATTTCCAGGAGTTCAGGTGTCTATGGAGTGAAAAAGCCAGTGTCTCTATTTGTCTTAGATGGTGAATGTAAGGAGGACCTCTTTTAGGAGGGACTGAGAGGCCACAGGAAAGATGAGAATGGTTTAAATTAGAGTAAACTTTCATAGTTAATTTTGCCGAGAGCTGAGTCACTGGTTCAAGGTGCAAATCAGCACCTCTTCAATGACATTTTTAGGACATTTTAAACAGGCTTGGTTTCCCAACTGACCTCCTGTCTTGTGCAATTCCACAATATCTGCTCTCACATGCCATTAGCACAGACTAAAATGTGCATGGGAAGAAGTACACCTGAAATTTAACTATGTTATTTTTGGAAATGCATGCTTTGAAAACCAAGGTTTCACTTTAAAAAGCCTTTATTCTATTATAACCAGCTCTCTGTGAATTGACTCATGTTGGTGTTACTTCATAATAATCACCAGTTAACTTTTATAAAAGTAGATATGTGACTAATGCATAAGGAAAGTCTCTGATTTCATTCCACAGGGCCACCCTGGAATGCCTGGCTTCTCAGGGGCTCCTGGAAACCCTGGTCCACCTGTAAGTTCCTCTGTTGCAAAGATGTTCCTGTAGTTTCTTGCTGATAAAGGGTGTTGCAAGCTCCATGTGGTGGAAAGGACCATTCCCATCTGTCTGTGCAGTGAATTTGCATTTTCCAGTGGGTTCCTCATGATCCCCTGAGTGTGATAGAGTTCCCCACTCATGGTAATTGCTATTTAATACATTGGCCACTTTCCACTGATTGCTTCAACTCATTCTGTAAATTGTTGCTAAGCTTCAGTTGCTCTCTTTATACAACACAAAGATGATGATTAAAACTCTTCCATAGGGACTATTTAGTGCATGTATAGGTGCTTTCCTGTATGTGGGGTAAGTTGTTAGTCTAGAACTAGCAGATCTGAGAGCATTTTAGCTCTCAATTTTGCACAGTGGTATGAGACTGGATTTTCTCCAGTTTTCATATTGTGTGAGTTACTTTTGAATTAAAAGGCCTTTTACATGTCCCTCTCCATACAGTCCTCATTCTCAGATTCTGCTCTGTCCATGAATAAAATTATGCTTCTTTGTATTTAAAAATGGGTGATAGTGCAGGATCAGGGCTGAGATCACTTGGCTCTCCTGCTGGCTCTCCTGCTTTACTCCCTTCAAGTTTGGGGATTTTTTCTGAGTCAAGGACTTTTCTCTCCAAACCACCTTTCATTGCCCAGAGTCATCACAGCTCATATTGCTGCTTACAGTGCAGTTTGGCTCTGCTGTGCTGAGGGTGCACCACCTTCATCCCTTCTGGGGATCAGCACAACCTGAATTCACATTGCACTGACTAAATGACAGGACATACCAGAAAGGGGGATTAGATTAAAATTCTATATTCAGATGGTATCAGTGCCTAAAGGATGCTGGGTGCTTTGCTGCTGTGACAGCACATGAACTTGCTTTGTGGGTGATTTGAGCTCCCATGAGCATTATTTTAGGAGAAGTTAATAACAGACACATTTGCTGTGTCTCTATTAACCTAATGCTGCTACAACTACAGAGCTGAACCAGTGGGATTAAAACACTTTAAATTGTCCTATGAGACCTCCTGAACAGATTCACAGCAAAAGGAAAAGTAAAACTGAGCCTGTCAAAACAGAGCAAAATGTGATGTCCCCTATACAATTTTGTTCTTCAGCTTTTGCTGACTTTTCCCTCTGTCTGCATTGACTTGTGGCTCCAGGAGTTTGCCTGCCACAGTGTGTGCTTCATAATTTCTGTTCTCCCATAACTGCTGTTCTTCAGAGTTATTTTTGTCATGACTGGCTTTTTCCTATTTGTCCCCTGTTTTCAGGAGGAAAAGCCAAGACCAAACTCAAATATCTGACTATTTCTGGCTTTGGAGGCTGATTGAGTGCAGAGGTTGGCACTGCTTTTCAGTGATGGATGAAGAAATGGAATGAATGTTAAGCTGAGTGATTAAAGAAAGCTCCAGAGTTGCCAGCTATGTGTTAACAAACATATAAAATGCATTAATCATTCATATTATTTCTGCTTTATTTTGTTTAGGGATCAGATGGGGCACCTGGACCAATAGGACCAGCAGGAAACCCAGGAGACATGGTAAGCTCTAAGCTCTGTGCTTCACTGCTGGCTTCACTTGGGTTTAGGTCTGTGAAGTAAAGCTGAGCTGGCATCCATGTAATATCCTTTGAAGGGTCTCCAGAATATTCAGCCTGCAAGTAGAACCTCCACAAATAACCACAGGTTTCTGTTCTAGCACTTTTTTTACTCCCCAAATGAAATTCCCAGTTAGCCAGAGGATAGTCCAGCCCATGGGACCTCTGTGGAGGTTTTTGTACCTCTTGTCTGTCTGTCCTTGCTATTAACATCTCTTAGCCTCCAGAACAGGATTTCTAAATCTGTTAGGATGCTTCATGACCTAAAGCTAATACCTGAACTCTGTGTGGGGATTATCAAAATATAACCAGCAACCTGTTAAAGGATGTCAAAGGCAGACTGCTGACATGCTGGAGCCTGGCACTATTTCCTGGCACCACCAAAAATACCAGTACAGGTATAACTTTCGAGAAGCCCATGAAGAATTTTGGCATTGCTGTTTCATTTTAAGGGTTTTCAGATGCTACTTTATGGCAATGCATCAGAAACCCCTGGGAAAGACAGGTAATCTGATTGATGCTAATTTCAGTTTGAAAAGCTGAAAATGAACCTTCCCTAAAGAATACTCCCTATTGAGTTGGAACAGTTTAAAACTGTGTAATTCCATTATGGATTTCTAGAGCAAGGTTTCCTAAGGGACAAGGTGCCTTTTGCAGAGCCATTTCACAACCTGAACTTCATCATAAGTAAACAGTGATGGTCCTCCTGATGGCTGTTATGAAATAGAGAGCATTCTCAGAGAGGCCAGATGAAATGAACAGGCTGGCTGAAATTCCATTTCAAATTGATGATAAGGTTGTGACACTATGAAAGACCTGGAGTGATATTGTCCAATCCTGTGGAGTAAGGGGATTTTTTGGGAAGGTCAGCAAGGCACTTCTGGTAACTATTCATTTAAAAGGTATAAAATACACATCTGCTTCCTGGCAGGGCACCTCATCCAGAAAGTTAAGGATGAAATATTAAATATAATTAAGCCTCAGAAAAAAAAAAACAAAAACCTAATTTTTTCAGAGGTTTCTCAATTTGTAAGAACTCAATGATAATAGTGATTTTTTTTTTTTTATGTTTAAAGAGAGCCATCCATTCTAAACTAGAAGTAGTTCAGGAAAACCTCATAGACTGTGTGACATGGGCTACAAGACCACCTTCTCACAGTTGTCCCATCAGACTCTACATGTGATAAATCTTCATCTGATAGAAGCCTCTGAGGAACTTGCCTGACCCTCAGTGTTTGTTCTTTCTTTCCAGGGCAAAGATGGTCCCCCAGGTCCACAGGGCCCACCAGGGCTGCCTGGACTTCCAGTGAGTGTGATTAAACTCCTTCTAATTCAGTACATTAAATTATTCATGCACACATAGGTATGTAAAACAAAGAGGTGACACTTCTGAGGTGCTTTGAGAGCCATGCATGGTCTGTAGCAGTGTCTGTCATGCTGATGCAATGTCCTTGTTCCAAGACAGTATTTGTTTTGTTCCAGAATCTGCATTTGATCACTTTAAAGCAAAGTGTTTATAACAATGTGAATCAGGACTGTTCATTGCCTGTCTTCTCATTGGAAGAAATACTCTTATACAGAGCACAGAAATCAAGTTATAACTCCAGTGTAAGGGCACAGGGATTCAGGGACTGGGACATTGACTTTATCTGAATCCAGTAAAAATTATTCCTTTGCACTGACTCAGGTTCAAGTGCACCTTGGGCATAGACTTCTCTCTTCTGGAAAATGTAGCAGTACAACATTTTGGGATTTTTTTAATCTGTCATAAGGATAGAGGCAGAGATAATTCTACTGTAAAGTAGCCTACCTGAAGATAATGGCATTATAATGATTTATAACAGTTGGTTTTAGAATCCTGATTTAAGATTGTTGGCCTGCTCATCTTGCTGGAAAGGGAAATATTGCCATATTGGAAAGGGAGTGAGGTTATGCCATTACAGGGTGTAGCAGGGAGACATTTATGACTGAGCTATAGAAGTATGGAGGGCTTTGGAAATTTAGGCAAACATAAGTATGTCATGATGAGCAGACTTCTCACTCTGACAAAACCCCCACCAATCATCCTTGTCAATTTTACTCTGTTTTGCATTTCATTTAACAGGGCATTGCTGGGAATGATGGCAAAGATGGCAAACCAGGATCTCTGGGGGAGCCGGTAATGTAATTTAAAACTGTTTTGCTCAGTCAATCAGAAGCTGCATCCAGTTGTTGTTTTTGAAGCTGCCTATCTATGGACTCCTTAGGGGGAACAAGGAGCCTGTTTGCACATCTGTTTTTAACACCAGAAGAACTGTATTGTCTTGAGCGATTTATAGGCATGACACATGAGCAATCTTGAAAAGAAACTGTGTTCTTTTACTTTTACAACTACCATAAATACACTAAAACTTAGTGACTCCACTTTTACAGCTGTCTTAAACACTGCAGAGAAAGAAGGTTGTCTTGTAACATTAAGCCTAGTGATCCATCCTTTTGATAGAAGTTTATGGGGCATAAAAAGTTTAGAGGAGGAGTCTTTAAAGAAGCTGTTTGCTGGATTGCTCTGAGACAGTTCTGTTGCCCAGAATTAGAGTTTATATTTGATTTCTCTACTTAGTCTATTACTTGCATTTGCTGAGGGAAAAAAGCTGAACCACGAAGTTGTCTAAAGGCAATGTTAGTAAATTTGGCAGTGGATGTAATTTCTTGCAACTGTGTGTGTTACATGAAGAATGTGCATCAAGTATCAGGCATTGCCAGCCTCTTTCTGTGACTTGCCAAATGGGACTTGGTGGTTCTGGGAACAGCCAAATTCCCAGGCATTAGGACAACTGCTAAGTAGAGGAGTGCTTGTCACAGAAGCTGCAGGTAGTTTGTGTTTGCACCAACCATCCCATTTCTGTGTGCAGATTCTGATTTTGCATGTGCTGATTGGGTATTGGTGCAGCTCTGACACTGCAACCATGCAGCAGTCCCGAGGTGTGAGGTGCCTCAGTAGCTCAGAGTGCAGGTGAGAGTGCAGCTCAAGGTGTGTTTGGGAAGGTCTGGCCCTGCTGCTCTCCCTGCAAACTCAGACTCTGCTGGACAAGCCCTGGGCACTCACAGCTCTCAGTGATGTTCTGTCTGAGGGAGGGGAGTGGGAGGTTTCCAGCAGCAGTGAGATGGACCTGGGGCTCTCTCTAACACGAGCATCATTGTTTCCCACAGGGAAAGCCTGGAGAACAAGGGCTCCCAGGCCGGGAGGGTGCCAGAGGATTGCCGGTGGGTGCTGCTCTGAAGGGTTCCACCCACTCAGCCCCCTGTACTGCAGTCAGGGGGCATTTCTTGGGCACATGAGGTGCTTTACAGATGGAAACATATAACCTGTCCTGACATTGTGACTAAATAAAATATGTAGATAAGCAACAACAATAGAACACAGACATTTCTGAATCATTCACATTGGAGAAGAGTAAATCCCTTATCTAAAAATTAAAGCATGTGACCTCATGACACCCCTCCACCAGAAGTCACAGCTGTAGCCCTTGTGTTCTGTTACAGGTCCTCTGAAAGGGTGGGGACAGTAAAGTTTAGGGTTAAATAATGTATGGGCTGGACACACCAGGGATACACAGAGCACAACCTTGGTTTTACAGCTTAAGAAGCCATGGAAAACTTTTCCTGTGATGTGGCCCTGCCTAATTGCTGCCTGGGACACAGCTGCTCCATGCTGACCAGTCCCTAGTAACTTTTGGCAAAACTGGAAAGGTTATTAAATGAACATTCAACCTAGAGTTTTCTTAGTCTTTCCTGCATCAGGGTGATGGATAATTATTGATTTCATTCCCTTGTGTAGGGTTTCAAAGGACAGAGAGGAGATACAGGTCCCCCAGGTCCCCGGGTAAGTAGCAGGTACCTCATGCACAATCCTTTGGAGAAAGATTGTGGGAATTGAAATTGCCTTTTCTGAGGCAGTAGATAAAAATGATGACAGTGTTTCATGTGGCTGATGACAGTGTTTTCAACTATGGGCCACATCTATGGCACAGAAATGACAGCATCTGTCTTCATTCCCTCTGCTGAACTTTTGATTCCAGGGAAGGTGAGGTAGCTGGTAGAACTGAATCCTCTGATGCTCCCTTTGAGATACTCCTTTGTGAATAAGTCTCAGGGATGCCTCCATGCCACATCTTGTGGTTAAAATGCTGGCAAAGTGAGGACCCCTACTGCACTTGTTGGACAAGCACTAGCTCTCCTCCACAAATGCTGAAGAAGTGTAAAATAAGTTCAAGTACAAAACTTACAGAAAAGTGAACAGAAATGTCCCTTTGGCTTAGTTTCCTGTGGGTCATAAAACCCAAACCTCAAGTCCTGCATGAAAATTTGTTCTCCACTCTGTTTGGAGCTCCTTGGTGTAAAAGGGAGAATACAAAACTGAATATTCTTCCACCTAATCCTGCCTTTTTTACAGGGAAATAAAATTCTCTGCTTTCAGAAGCTGGTGTGAAAAATCCAGTGCTGGAGATCCTCATCTCTTCCTCATTATGATAACTTCTGTATCATGAATGTGTTGGTGATTTTCAGTGCCTGCAGAAGCAGTAGCAAATAATTTGCTGGAAAGCAGAGCACTGCCTTGTGCATCACTTACAGGAGATGTTTCTGAGATATTTTTATAAGCTGCATGTCATATAAGATGAACGAGGCTCTTGCTGGCTTTAAAAAAATTTTCACTGAGCTCAGTCACACATTGCAGAAACCCCATACCTCTTACAGTGGTGATACTGGTCTGAATTTGACCTTGAGCTGATCTCTTCCCTTTTTGCTGAATTGCAGGGGGAGCCAGGTGTGATGGGTCCTGCTGGTCGTGAGGGGCCACCAGGGAAGGATGTAAGTGCACCATTTTGAGCAGAAATGAATCTCCTTCTCCCTGACAAATGAAAATTTTAATTCACAGTCACCCTGACCTGAAACAGCTGCAGAAACTCCAATAAAGGGTGAATTACTGCAGGGTATGATTTGTGCAAAGATCATTAGGGGAAACAAAGAATTAGAGGGCCTAGAGGGCCTTTATCACTGCTCAGCTGCTGGCACTAAAATGTCAGCTATATCTTTGGATAAGCAGAGAAAGCAGCATTGTGTGAAACCCAGGCTGTGCTTGGTAGCCATGGACCTGTCTTCTGGCACCCATCTCTGAGCAGAGCTCTGCTCTGCAGGTCCCACCAGGCCAGGCTTGATCACGCTTCCTCTGCCACAGCTGCACCTGACTGACTGTGTCGCTCCACTGAAGTCTGGGAAATACCTATGGAATAAGTTGCTGCTGCTCAGAGGAAAAGAAAGATGGTACAAACAGTTCCTCTAGCATGATTAAGTGTCAAGTGCAGTCATATAACAGAGTCCTGGGAGGGAGCAGCTGACGTGGGATCCTGCAGCAGCTGCCGAGCAATGTTCCGAGCAGCTGATGGGCCACTGCCATGGGACCTGGAGAAGTGGCTTCTCATTTGCACCCCTTTGTGTCACTGGAAGCTGGTGTGCTGAAAATGGTACCCTACAAAGCAAAATGTAGGGCAGACCAAAAGGAACCACTCAGAGGAGATGCAGGCAGCTCTGAAGCCTTCCTGGAAAGAGAATAGGCTCAATTCTTGAGAAATTCTCAATTCTTGAGAAATTTCAGATAATCTCTGTCCCTAAGAAATACATCTTTAAGATAATCTGATCATAACCTGATAGAAATGCTTTCTGCTTGTAATCAGGTTGCATTTAGTGGTAGGTGTTTAAAATTCAAAGGGTTGATCTTCCTCATAAATAACTGAAAGGGGGCAGTGAGATTCCTTTAATCCTATTTTCCCTAATATGTGAACAGTGTAGTTTATCAGGAATATTTTATAATGTTTGTTACTTGCCTCCATGTCAGCTCTTTCTCAATCACCTGAATACTTTTCTTCCTTTCAGGGTGATCCTGGTCCCATAGGACCACAGGGGCCTCGAGGACTCCGAGGGCAGCCGGTGAGTTCTCTCTCCTGACAAGCCATTTCTAGAGGTCCATAATAGTTCATAGAATAGTTTGAATTGGAGGGAACATTAAAGATAATATAGTTCTAACCCCTTGCCCTGGAAAGGGATGCCACCCACTAAACCAGCTTGCTCAGACCCCCATCCAGCCTGACCTTGAAAACTTCCAGGGATGGGATGTTGTGTGTGGTGGGAATGTTCTGCAGTCCAGAACTCTGGCTTGAAAGAAGAGAGTTTAGGAGGATTCAGATAATCTTTGATTAAAACACTTTGCCTTTCAGAAAGACAAATAATATTGCTAGAAACTGATGAAGACTTATAATAGTGCAAAGGACTGATGGTAGCTGACTCAGTGGGAAGAACAATTCAATGGATTCTGTCAGGATGCAGAGTCAGAAATACTCATATTTCAGTCCTGCCTCTGGAATCCCACTCACTTCTCACATGGTCTCAGTTTTCAAAGGTAGACACTCACTGTGGGTGCCCAGGCTGAGTTTTGTGGGGTCCAGTTGTGATACTATTCACCTGTACTATTTTATTACAGCTTCAGTGGAGAAACAGAAATCTAGTTGACATTTCAAAAAGTCTCATTTGGGATGGCTCAGAAATTACTTTTATTAATTTCACAGAGTTTAAAATTCTGTCTTAGAAATTAATCCTTATCAAATCTGAATCAATATCTCTGTTGCTGAACCAAGGCACATCTTTAGTGTATTGCAATGAGTGAGTTCCTTTCCTTCTTGGAAGACCTGGTAGTGAAACAGATTCCACAGCATGATCGGGGGGGAAAATGCTGACTCAGAAATGCCAGGAGTTGGAGCAGCAGGTCCCTCCAAGCTGGGGGGGTTGGGGTTTAGATTAGACTGCAAGAACATAAGGAGACCTCCTGTGTCTACCTCATAATTGATCTCATTACTCCAGTACTGCTGGCATCACTCACTATCGTGTCATGCCCCTGCACAACACTAGCAGTGAGTAAAAATATTTGAAGATGGAAATTATCATAACTTCAGGCCACATTCTTCTTTTCATACTTGTATGTTGGAAGGCAATGTGTCAGTTTCTCTTGTTCTTCCTTTTCTTTGTTAATTATCCAAAAAGGAGTGTGAGGCATAATTTTGAATATTGACAATACAAGGGCTGGTCTTTATGGTCAACTCCAGTAAAGGGAAAGACTCTGAGTGTTGAGTTGAGAGGAGTGTAAAACTTAATCTCACCAAAGTTTGTGGATGATTAGCTCAGCTGCTTCCTCAAGGAACAATGAGAAACAGGTCCTTTTAAAGGATCATTTCGCTCATTCTGAGTTGTCTGGTGTCAGATATCTATCAAATGTTTGAACAAGTGTTTCTCTCCATTCCCCAAAGAAGGGGAAGCCTGAGATGATTTAAAAGAGTCTTATCTGAACAGTGGTGACCTGGAGCAGCCAGAGGAGGTGGCTCCATCCACCCAGAAGGATGCTGCATATGGTAAGGACAAGGGTGCAGGGAAGGAGAAGTGCTGGTTTGGTCCTCCTCAGGCCTGTGGATTTGGGTCCATGTATTGATTTTTTTCCTGAGGTCATCCATGCAATCAGGGATGCAGAAGGTGTGAGGTCAGTTGGAAATAAGATACTTCACAGTCTGTCAGGAGAGGAGACTGAACAATGCTAAAGAAATCCCTGCTGGTGTAGGCATAGCTGAATATTTCTAGTTTTAGCATGCATTACATCACTAACCTTTTTTCTTTTGACACAGGGCAAAAATGGAGTGCCTGGATCTGCAGGAGAACCTGGCCCAGCTGGTATCCCAGTAAGTAACACAAAGGGAGACTGCTGCAGCCAGGAGAGGTGATTGATGAAGTGTAGGTAGAGTGGATTAGTGTAACTGGTTACTATCCCTGAGGTTTCTATGTCTGAAGATGGCTGATCTGAAAATCAGTAGCTGGCCACAATTTTGAAGGGTGTTTGGCTACGTTCCTGGAATTGAGATGCTAGCTGGGTCATCACTTTTCCCAGTGAAAGTTAAGTGTTCACAGCAAATGGAAATGATTGATTGCCTAGCATGGAAAAAAGATTGGCATGCCTCATCTTCACCAGTAGATTTAATTTTGCCAAGCAGAGAGCATGCAGCCAGCAGAGAGTTGTCACAAGGAAGGAGAGGGCCTCGGGGAGTTGGCAGGCTGCCATTGAGGAATAGTGGCAGCAGAAAAATCCTCACAGGCACTTGAGGGAAGAGCAGACAGCGGGCAGTAAACCAGGATCAGGAAGCATAATGAAACTCCCCTGAGGCCATCCTGTGAGCAAGAACAGCTTGGAAATGAGGAGCTCTAAGAAGGACAGTGGTTTGGTTGGGTTTGTGTTTTTTTCCTCTGTTCTGCTGCTGAAAATTGTCCAGAATTCAGCAAATCTATGCAAACATTCCTTTGTGCCCAGTAGCATCTATCACAATGCAGAGCTCTTCCCTCTCTTTGCCCATGGAGACAGTACAGCTTGCTGGACTGTGGGATTAACAGGAAAACAAAGGCAGAGCAGGAGGAATGTGAAAAGCTGCAGCAGGACTTCACTCTTTGTGACCCTTGCAAAGTCATAAAGCCACCCCAGCCTCACCACAGACTTGTGCCCTGATCAAGCATCTGCAGGGATGTCTCAGAGAAGCAAACACCACAGAATCACAGAATCACCAGGTTGGAAGAGATCTACAAGATCATTGACTCCAACCCATGCTCTGACACCTCAACTAAACCAAGGCACTGAGTGCTACATCCAGTCTACACATCCAGGGATGGTGACTCCAACCCCTCCCTGGGCAGACAATTCCAGTACTTTATCACTCCTTCCATAAAATAATTTTTCCTAATATTTAACCTATATTTCCTTTGGCGCAGCTTGAGACTGTGTCCTCTCTTCTGTCAGTTGCTGCCTGGAGAAAGACCAACCCCCTTTCAGGAAATTGGTTTCAGACTAGAACCACCTTTCAGGAAGTTGTAGAGGGTGGTAAGATTACCTCTGAGTCTCCTTTTCTCCAGGCTAAGCACCCCTAGCTCCCTCAGTCATTCCTCAACAGGATTTGTGTTCCAAGCCCCTCACCAGCCTTGTCACCCTTCTCTGGAAGTGCTCAAGCATCTCAACATCCTTCCTAAACTGAGGGACCAGAACTGGACATTACCTTTCTGTGTGGGAAGGTGGGACAGGGTGCTGCAGTCTGAGAGCCCTTCTGCATCAAAAAACAAATGCCACAGGCTTTTTGTCCTTGACATAAGCTCTTCTTACCTTCCTGAGACTGCTGCCATTGCTTCTTGCCCTGTGGATCCTTGCTCTTTCCTTTTCCTTATTTTCTTCTTTTTGTTGCACCTACCCCTGTTCCCAATTCCTATCACTGCTTTTTTACCTTCTGTGTCTTTATCAGGTCACTGTGGCTTTGGGATGCCTTGTGAATGCCAAGTGGGGATTATTATTTTAATCATCCTAGTGTTATACAGTACCTATAGGATGTGACCCAGGGACTCACAGGCAGCTTCCTGCACAAACAGCACCACAGCAGCCTTTGCTCCAGAGGATTTAGAGTCCAAAAATAACAGAGATTGAAAAAGGATAAAGTCAGATGGATGAGGAAGGGGAAATGATGAGACAGTGTTGGTCAGCAGAACAGACAGTCATCTCATCATTATCATTCTCTGTCATTAAAATGAATCCTCTCCTTTTCATAAAGGTTATTATGGGAAGTGTCTCCTTGTGCTGTACATAAATCCATTTATTTTGAAATGCATTAATTTCCTTCACAGTGTGGTGTGACAATCCAATATTTTATATTTCTATTTTGAAAAAAAGGAAGGTGAGGAAGGTTATCATGGCAATAAGGATTTTTTTTTCTACTTTCACCATTGCTGACTTGAAATCACAAGGTAAAACCTGCCATGAGCCTTTTCCTTTTACATTTGCTGTTTGACAGTGCCCATCACAGTTCACACTTGTTCATGCTTAAGCCCACACACAACAACACAATCCAGCCCCTGAAATCTTCAGGGCAAGTTACACACCCCAAATCCATGTGCTTTGTGCCTGACAGGCTCATTGGTGCTCACTTTGCATGAGTTTTACTCTAAGAAGAAAAAGGGCTGTGTTCTGAACCAAAATTAGTGGACAAAGTTCTGAAAGTAAAGGTTAAACTAAGAGTTAAAACCACATCAGAAGTGTGCACAAAACAGTTCTGTATCATGAACTGTCACTTCAACTGCCCTGATCTGCAAGGAAAAAGGGACAGTTTGACAGAATATCACAAGAGATAAGTGAAAGAGACATAAATTGAACCTGGAAATAAAGGCAAAGGAGAAGCCCTGTAGCTGTCTGTTGGTTGTATTCTTGGATTTGAGCAGTATGACCACCTGCAATGTTTCCCTGTCATCCCCCATCACAGTTCTCAACACCCCTTTATAAACCATGTGACACCACAACAGCCCTGGATTTACAACAGCCCCTGCCATAATTGTCCATTTTCATCTTCTCCCAGGGACCCTGCATAGCTTATTGATAAGGCAACCACAATACCTGCAACCTGCTTTTTTAAAATACTTTTTTCTTCCTTGTCAGTTTTGGGAGTCCTGCTGCTAAAATGAAATTTCCCAGTTCCAGTGTATCTGTACATGAATGCTCTGGGAAAGAGGTGTTGGGGAAAGGTCTGCTAGTGTCTGTCTCATTTCTGTCCTAAGGGTCCCAAAGGAAATAAAGGAGAAACAGGCAGCCCAGGACTCCCTGGCTTTATAGGACCCCGAGGACCACCTGTGAGTATGTCTGGGGATGGATTAGATCCTCTCTTTACCTGATTTTAAAGGTTAGACAGGAAGATGGGACATGGTCATCTTCAGTTAGGTTGAAAAAAAAGCATAAGGAGGATATCTAGCAAATCCAGAAACCATATAATTTTACTTCCAAAGGAAACTGAACTGCAAAAATAGCATTTTTCATATGGATGAGCAACCATAATCTCATGTATGGAGCTGGTACCTGCCAGTCAGCCCTGATAATGTGTGCATTGATCAGACTGCTTCAATAGGCTTCTTAATACAGGTATGGGGTATTTAAGTTCTCAGACTACACCTCTGCATAAACCTTAGATGGGCTAAATAGGGAAATTGTGAGTGCTGATAATAATACAGGTATATCTGATATTTGCTATTCTGAGGGAAATTCCTTTGTTGCCAGCAACAGAGGTACATTGCAATTAAAACATTCATATATCTCCCAAAGTGATCTAAAATAATAAATAATAAACCTATATTCATGACATTATCACAGCCTCAGAATTCAGTCTCTTTGCAAGGTGAGTAAAAGATGTTAAATTCCCCTAGAGGGATGTAAAAAGTGAACGCTAGGTAATTTTTTTATTTCTAGATTTATTGTGACAAAAATTTATAATTTAAAATATTTTGTATGTCTCTAGCAGAGCTGAATCTTCCCCAGGATGGTTCTTTTTTTCCTTCTGTATTTTTTAATATTTAATTTTTAAACTTGAAAAGGAGCTTTTGGATGCAAAGAGAAGAAAGAAATACTTCTCTGGACAATTAATTTTAAGCAGCAAACATGGTGGCCATTTAAACTGAAGTGAGCCTAAGGAAAACTCAAGTGAGTTTAATGCAGCCTAATTTGGATCACACATCTCTGATTAGTTCCATTCCTCATGGAGATTTGTATGGATGCTGATACAGGTGAAGATATTATGTTTTCAGGGGAAAATATCATGTTATAGATATGATCATGTGTGTTGGCTGCAAACAGACTTAGAGAGATTATTTTTTCTGTACATGATATGGGAAAGTGGCCAGAATTTCGGCAACAACTAGTTTAATGTTCATTTTGCTTTACCAGTTAAGGACTGCAATGATTTTTTTTCCACTGAAATACTAAAATGGAAACTATGTTGTCTAAATATGACATTATAAATGCAAAAAAATATTTAAATAGATATGTGTAAATAATTCCACAAGGGTAGTTATTCAAATTAAGATTATTGAATATAGTTCTGAAAGACAGGTGAGCACTTAAGCTTAAAATTCCTTAAACCTCTGTATGTGTTTTTCCAGCTGGTGTAATACAAGATGGTACTTCTACTGACAAAATTTACTTCACTTACATCTTCAGACACTTATGGGTATAAGTGCTCCTTAAGTTAAACAAGACAATATAAAGTGTATGAAGCTTTGGGAATTGTTGGTAAGAAAAAGGAACAAAATGTATTGAATGCAGGAACACACTTCCAGTGAAATATCTGCCCTCTGGTTTGTTAGAAATTACTTCCTGTTATTTATGTTTACATGGGATGCAAATTCACTAAAAAATGCTTTCCAAATAGGAGGATGTGTCTGTCCAGGAATGGCCAGTAGCAGTAGGATAAGGATAAATCATACAAACCTGCTGCTGTGTTGTTAACACAAAGCAACACTTATGGGTATTAGGCAGAGCCTTTCTTCCAGCTCCTCCAGTGTGATGCTAAATTCACTTTCTGTGTGTCTTAGGGAGAACCAGGAGAGAAAGGTCCTCCTGGAAAAGAGGTAAGTTAAATTCACAGTTGTTTCAATATAAGACTGGTGTCACAGGGAAAAAATCATCAAGGGTATTACCGGGGTTGCAAGAAATTGGGGTTTTTCATAGCATGGTTTGGGTTGGAAGGGATCTTAAATATCATCTATTTCTACCCACCCTGCCAGGGGCAGAGACACCTTCCACTAGACCAGGTTGCTCAGAACCCCATTCAACTGATTTTGAACCACTCCAGAGATGGGACATTCACAACTTCTCTGGACAACCTGTTCCAGTGCCTCACCACCCTCACAGTGAAAAATTTTTACCAAATATCACTCTTTCTGATTGTGAAGCCATTTACCTCTTGTCCTATCACTACAGTCCCTGACAAAAAAAGTTTGTTTTTTTTATAAACCCCTTTTTAGTACTGAAAGGGACTCGAAGGCTCCTGCAGAACCTTCTCTCCTTCAGGCTGAGCAACCCCAGCTCTCTCAGCCTGAATCCACAGGAGAGGTGCTCAAGCCCTTTGGGCATCTTTGTGGTCTCATTTGAACTTGCTCTAACAGGTTCATGGCCTTGCTTATATTCTGGCACCACAGCTGGACACAGCATCCCAGGTGGGGTCTCACCAAAGAGGAGTGAAGGGAGAAAATCACCCTCCTCAACCTGCTTGTCATGTGGTTGGGGTGGGGGTTTTTGTTGTTTTTTTTTTTGTTTGTTTGGGGTTTTTTGTTTGGTTGGTTTTTGGGTTTTGTTTTGGTTTATTTTTCCTTTAATTGTTAATAACTGAGAGCAAAAGAGAAAGTTCTCAGGAAACTGTGGGGTTGTCATGGAAATAAATTTTCCTGGGGTCACAGGAATCATTACAAAGGCATATGTTTCATTATTTACTCTTATTATGGATGATTCTTTTATGCTTACCTTTATTTTCTTGCAGGGCACACCAGGGAAACAGGGTGCAATTGGCTCCAAAGGAGAGAGGGTAAGTTGGAGAACATTACCAGTTATTTCATTATGATGAAATAAAGAGAGCTATTCTGAGTTGGGGCCTGGGGGCAGAGGTCATTCAAAAGTGAAGCCAGTGCTTCTCAGTCTTCCAGGTCTCTTTAATCATTCTCCATTAGAACAATTTGTGATTCATTTGTAGTGCACCAGATGTTGCACTCAGCAACTTTGCCAGCTCAGCTGTGGTAGTGTTTGTGTGTTTCTCTGTGTTTGGAAATCAGAAGTTTGCTTCTTATTTTGTGGTGGTAATGTCCTTCTCTTCACTTAGGGAGAACCTGGCATCAAAGGTGAAAAAGGCCTTCGAGGAGAAAAGGGTCCTCCTGGTGATCCCGGGATACCTGGCCACAAGGGCCATCCAGGACTGATGGGTCCCCACGGACCTCCAGGAGACACTGGGCAAGTTGGACCTCCTGGTCCTCCAGGGCAGCCAGGATTTCCAGGACCAAGGGTAAGGTTGCCAGAAAAAAGCTTTGTACAGTAATTTTGCTGCCACAGGGATCAGAGAAGTGCCTCAGAGTACATTGAGGATGACAGAAACTGGAGCAGGAGTATGTTTTAATGGGGAGGCAGTGCTTTTAGCTCTTAATACCCATAAAGGGGAGCTGTGTCAGGGATCAGGGAATCATGGAATCATAGAGTGGTTTGGGTTAGAAGAAACCTTGAAGACCATCAGTTCCACTCCCCCTGCTATGGATGGGGACACTTTCCACTAGACCAGATTGCTCCAAGCTGTGTCCAGCCCAGCCTCAGACGCTTCCATGGATGGAAGTTAGGAAAGGCTTATGTGGGTGTTGACTTGCACTTCAGGGGAGCTAAATAATCCAGACTCATAGTCAGTGTGGCCAGTTGCTGACACCTTTTACCCCTAAATGCCTAAATCCGGTCCTGTGATGTTGGCTGTGGCACTGGAGTGTAAAAAAGATTCTTTCTATGAGGGCAATAATGTGTAGCAGTTCATACAGAGGACCAACATCTTCTTCTGCTGCTGGTTGTTACGAGAGAAAAAATGCTGAGCCGTGGAAAGGTCACTGCTCTATTCCTGGAAGTCCTGTAGTCAGCTCATCAGAATTCATGAAATACTATTTTTGTTTAATATTCTCCCTCTTTTTTTTTTTTCCTCCCCCTGCTGGGAAACAGTCTCACTACTGAGAATGCCTGAGGGTGGTTTATGTTGCAGAATGAGAAAAACTACCAACAGCAGTGAAGCCACTGTGCCTATCCTGAGAACGAATTGGAGATCATCTCTGAGGAGAATAAACAGAGAATAATCTCTGATGTAAAAACTGACTAAATTTTAGACAAAGCATTTCTTTGTGTTTGAAATCAAGTGATGATTATGGAAACTTAATTTAACTAATGGGGTTAAAACTTGAAAAGATAATTTTTAAGCCTTTAAAGTATGCTCTGCAATTATGTTTACTTAGTGGGATATACACTAAGAGCCATCAAAAATGCTTAGTACTTAATGATAAAATTGTTTCTTTTGTCACCAGTGACACATCTTTTTCTCATGCAAAATTTGTGTCAGGAAGGAGGCGGTAAATGGACCAATTCTGTATTTATCAGCAATGCTATTGATTAAAATTGAAATGTCACTTAGCTATTTAATAAGATATCATTTTTTAATGAAGAATAACTTCTGATTCAGAAGAGCTCACTAGGTTTTCATAAACATAGAGAACACAAACTGCATCCTTGTATGTTAAAAGAGTAAGTGTGAGGGAAAAGCAACACTTTTGCAAACAGTTGATGCACAAAAGAATGCAGTCTTTAGGTTGACCAGAAGTATTTTCAAAACTGACAGAAATGCAAAAAATTATTTTAGCCAAAAAAAATGAAAAGTATATTTTGAGTGGAACATCTCACTTTCTGATTTTTAAAAGAAAATACTTGATCTTTCTGCTTGAAAATGGTTTATTGTTTAAGCATAGCTGCAATTTTCTTTTGAGTTCTTACAAAGGCAAGAGCCTGGCAACCCTAAAACCTGTTTTTTATTATTATTTACAATCTAAAAAATTCTTCCACCTATCAAAAATGCTTTCATAATTTTTTTAGTTGCATCATCCAGAGTTGTAGTTCACATTACTTTGAGTTTTTATAGCTATTACAGCTGTACAACAGCAGCAGCACAAAAGAATTAAGAGAAAGGATGAAAGATACTGTGCCTTGGGAGCTGGGTAGGGGGTCAAGGCCAGACAGCCACATGCCCTGTCTCCCTTCAATAGCCTGAAATCAGACAAAACCTTCTACTGGTTTGGAAGAATAGGTATCATATGCATAAACTGATTTCTGTTTCCTGAGATAAGGCCTGTTGGCAGGGGATACATCCAATATGAGTGTTTCCAGGAAGTCCAGATAGCCAGCATTAGAACCTTTGGGGCACATGCACTCTCTGCAAGGAAACATGCCATGATGAGAAAGAACATAGTATCTCCACTGTGATCTGGTAGGGGAGAGATGCTTCCTCATGTAATTTGTACAACTTCTCCTATGAGTGCATAGGAAGGAGATTTTCTTAAAGATGGTGATGGGAACAGTGCTGCAACTGGTGCCCTCAGACCAGGCTCCCTGCTTAAACCATTGACCCATGGTTTGCCAGAAGGCTGGAAACTGAGAATGCCATTTGACTCTGTCCCCACAGCACATTCCTGGAAAGGCTGTCAGCCCAGGGCTTGGGCAGGGGCACTCTTGGCTGGCTTAGGAACTGTCAGGATGGCTGTGACCAGAGAGTGGTGGGGAATGGAGCTGCAATGAGTTGACATCCCATCACTAGGGGTGTCCCCTGTGTCCTGCCCTGTTCAGTGTTTGTCCTGCTGATGTGGGCAAGGGCATCAAGGGTGCCCTCAGTAGTAAATTTGTGATGACACCAAGGTGGATGGAGTATCTGAAGGGTAGGAAGGCTCTGTTAGGGGGATGTAGACAGGCTGGATGGATGGTGTAAGGCCAGTGGAATGAGGTTCAAGAAGAGCCAGGGCCTGGTTCTGCCCTTGTGTCCCCACAAGACCCTGCAGTGTCCCAGGCTGGGGGCAGAGCAGCTGGAAGGCTGCCTGCAGGAAAGGCTCTGGGGCTGACAGTGGCCAAATGTGAGCTGGCTTGTGCCCAGTTGGCCAAGGAGGCCAGTGGTCTCCTGGCCTTCTCTGTCAGCATTGTGTGGCCAGCACAACCAGGGTGGTGATTGTCCCTCTGTGCTGGGCACAGGAGAGGCCACACCTCGAGTGCTGTGTGCAGATGTGTGAGCCTGTTAGGACACCATTAGTGAGACATGCCGATCCTCCAATTAAGGTGCCAATAAGACCATCTAGCAAAGTTAACAATGGGGGTTTATTTATAAATGAATGTGGGGTAGAGAAATACAGAGGGATAGGAAAGAGGAGAGGGAGATGGAAAGAAGGGGAAAACAGAGGGTAAGGGAGAGATGAAGCAGAAGACAATCTGAGACACTTGGATCCAGCAGTGTCCTGTCAGCCCTCCCTCATGCTGTGCTTCTCTGTTCTGGGGCTCCCAGTTTTTTTCTTGGAGGTGTTGGTGTTCCGGGGTCAACACCTTTCTCCATTCCATACTGGGGGTATCCAGGGAGGCATTTTCCTATTTTTCAATGTGAAAGGGAGATGGGCTTGCCTTCCTTTGCCTTCAATGCTGAGGCCCAAGGAGCATTTCTCAGCTCCTAATGCATCCTGAGGGATGCAGACCTCAATGCAGACTGGGCCTGGAGTAAGCTTCTGTGGGATTCTACAGGGCAGGGCTTTCATCCTTCTTCAGCCATCTCTCCTTTACCTGGCTGCCTTGCTGCTGACTTGGAGTTGAGGGATTAGGTTTGGCAGCAGGACCTACCTTTGGCAACTTGTCGCCTAAGGGTGAGCACTCATCTTTGGGAATCTGCCTGGTACTGACACAGGGCTCACTCCTCCGGCTGCCCCCTGAGGCAGCTGAAGGAGAAAAGGCGGCGCAGAGCCCGCCGGGCCGTCTTGGCCATGGAGCGCCATGGCCGTGGGGCCGGGGGCTGTGGGACAGTGGCTATGCCAGCAGTGGAAGCAGGGACCTGGTGTACCAGGGGCTGGGCAGGCACTGGGGAAACCCCAGGCAGCACACCAGCCCCACAGGGCTTTTCCTGGGGAGGGGTGGCCTGGGCACAGCCAGCCTCCATGCCTGCAGCATCGACCTCCTCCACAGTATCAGCAGGTGAGGCACAAACCGCAGACATCTCTGAGTCTTCTGGCAGTGCCATGGGGAAAGGCTCACTGTGCCCCTCCTCACAGGAATCAGTGTCCAGGGGAGAAGCTGCTGGCTCTGCTCCCTCCTCTTGCAGTGGTAGGGACAACTCACTCTCTGGCTCACTGTCCCCCTCTCCTGCAGTGTCTCTGTCAGGGAGCTCTTCTTCCTCCCACTTTGCCAGCAGCTGGTCTAGCCGAGTGTCCCTGGACGGCGCATCCTCGTTGTTAAAGAGAGACCACAGCTCTTCAAACAGGTCGGGAGGCATGAGCTGTGCATAGTTTTCAGTCTCTCCTGTACAGTCTTTGGTCCAGGTGCAAACGTTGTGCTGGACCCAGGAGCTTTCTGCATCCAGGGAAGCAAGGACCTCGTCCTCCAACTTCTCCAGCTCTTCTGCCTCAATTTTCAGGAGATGATCAGAATCATCTTCAGGCCCCGTGCACATCAGCTTGCCGTGTGTTGTTTGCTCTGGCAGCTGACAAGTTCCCCTCTCCACACTGGAGCTTTCAGATAAGGGAGATGCTGAGAAGCATGAGGTTTCCTCAGCTTCTGACATGGGGAAAAGCCTGCTGTGCCCCTCATCCCAGGGATCTTTGTCCAGGTCAGAAGTTGCTGCCTCTGACTCTTCCTCACTGCGAGGAAGAAGCGATGCAACCTGTGGGTTGCTGTCCCTGTCTCCTGGAGCCTCTCTTTCTGTGAGTTCTTCTTCCTGCCACTTGTCCTCTGGCTCTTTTGGAGAAGTTTCCCAGCCCTGTGAGTTGTCAGAGACAGACTGCTGCTCTGGCAACCAGGCAGGAGACAGGAGCTCAGAGGAATTTTCACTGTCTGTGGTGGAGCCTTTGTTGAAGCCGGGAGCTCTGTGCATCACCTGGGTCTCTGCATCTGCCTCTTGGCAGAGACTTGACTGCTCCTGAGTGCAGGTGGACTTGGTGAACCTTTCTCCAAACTGGCATGAGGCAAAGCCTCTAAATGGCTCTCCATTGGTGTTGCCACCGTGCTCTTCCTGCAGCTCAGTGAGCCCCTCTGTCATGGTGTGCTCCATGTTCTTCCAGGCAGGCTGGGTCCCTGTGCGGAGCAGCGTGCCACCTGCCCATCGCAGGGGTGGCAGGCAATGGCCCTGCCTTGCTGCTGACCCTCGCCCGAGCCTTTCAGCTGAGCTGTTCAGGGAAGGTGTTTCCCTGGCCCCATAAGCAGCCCTAGTGCCCCATGGAGAAGGTGGCACTAGGTCTCGGTGGCTGC